AGTCGACTTCCTGCTTTAAATGGAGCGAGGAATATGATGAGGCCTTCTTATGCCTCAAAGCACAAATGTTATCGCCCATATTCTCAGCGCCCCAGTATGAGTAGGCCTGTCAATTCGGTTTCGGGTTAACCCGAACCCGAACTGATATTCACATTCTCAGTTTTGGGTTTTTCGGGTTCAACCCGATATCTATAATAGCGGTTTCGGGTTACTGAAACCCGAAAAACCGAAAGCTGATACTGGGTTCACGGCTTCACACTGTCATTTTGGGAAGGAGAATCATCCCTAGCTCTCGACTCCACCTCGTCCTCGTTCTCGCAGGCGCAGTCCCACTCTCTTCGTCTTTGCCAAACGAAACAGAGCTCCCTCACCACCATCATCGTCCTCGCCGCCAGCGGCCTCATGAGGACCTCCGAGCGCCATCGAATCCCTCTCCGGCCGCCTCCATCAAATTTCTTGCACTATGTTTGTGGGTTCTAGTCTTTGACAGCGTTGAATCCCTTCCTCGCCATTTCGCTCTTCGCCTCGGGAAGGAGAAACCCAGTGCCCACATTCTTCCGACGACTCCGCCATGGAATCCTAGTGAGTCTCTTCGAACAATTATTCTATTGCTTCAATTTATTACTGGGTTCTTGTTACCGTAGCTAATTTGGCAGGGTTTTTGTTACTCGATTCCTCTTTTCCTTGGCGACCAGATGGGCAAGTCAGCTCTCTCCCAATCTCTTCTTTGACTGAGGGCAAACAATTTTTGCTGTTGATTGACCCATCAACGACGAGACAGAAGTGGACACATATGGAATCCCAATAAGCTCCTTCTTCATTCAACTTGGTATTACTCGATGATCCCGGGTTGTTGAGAGTCCTGGTCTAACATGGAGAATTAAATATGAACTGTAAATTGCTTGTCACCTGATATCTACCATTGTTATGTCCAAATTTACGCCAATTATTTTGTGGCTTGGGTCCAATCCAGCTAAATAGTGATATATATATATCTAGAAAAATTAGACATTTGGTGCTAGTCTTTAGTGCAATGGCCAATGGTATTGGGAAAGAAGCCTTTGTGTTTTGCGTGGCTAAGGTAGATGTGTAAGTAAGATGAACAAGAGTATGCCAACTCTTCCCTAGAGTTGTATTTTTAGACTGCTTAGAGTTTAGAGAATGTGTAAACCATTGCCATAGAACTGAGTATTGTATTGCCAAGTCACTGTTGTTTTAGCTTTGTTCTACTTCCTTTTTCTTTTTATGTGTTAAAGATTTCTACTTCGTTATCTACTGCCCTGAGTACGCTGCAGTTACCTCATATAGATGCATAGTAATATAATTTACCATTCAATATTGATAACTAAAATTTTAAGGAAACTAATGAATGTTTCTGTAATGGTTTTTGAAGTAAATGATTACAGTTTTCATAGTGGTCACCTTTCAAGTTTCAACTTCTCTCTAGACAGCCAGACATAGGCTTGTTACTTGTTAGAGAGTACACATAGATCTAGAGGAAGCAGTGGTGCATACGCTTAAGTTTTCGCACGAGAACCAGGCATTCCTGCTTTGCATGTGCAGTTAGTATGCTCTGGTTCTTACCTCACCAGGAAAAATAGTTGTGACAGTTTTGAAATTTCTTTTGCTGGCTTTTTAAAAAGTATGGTGGGTGTATGCATCAACTCTCAGTGCCTGGTTTTCATGTGACAATTTCAGCTTTCTGTGCTCTACAATGGGTCCAATTAATATGCGAGTCCGAATGTGTGTTGTGCAGTAAGGAACTGGAAAGAATGCACGACAGTCATAGTCAGGTCAAACTCATCAGTTATGATTGCTATCAATATGTGTTATATTAAGGGTTGAAGGTGTTCTAGCAGAGCTCTTAATTGAGCTGAGAAATTGGGTTTGGCTTAGTTGGCTTTTCACTGGGTAGTCAGGAGCATTATGATGAAATGAACCATGAACTGCTTGTCATACTGTGGGTAAAATTGTGTCCATTTTTTTTTGTTCGTGTACGAGCAGCCTTCATTCCCTTATAGATTAAGGGTTCAGAGGATGTATATTGAGTATAGTTTTAGGCATTTATAGCACTAAAAGTATGGTTGGACATCTTTGTATGTGGTTTGGGATTTTTGTTTGTTCCCTAACATGGTATTTAGCCATGTATGTATTAATTATTGTTAATATGTATAGTTAATGAATTGTACTCAACTCAACTTTTCATTTTGACAGGGGAAGTGAGGCACCATCGGCTTCTCGTCCTAGACGTGGAGGACACTCTAAGAGTACCAGCATTCCTGCTCCTGCACCGTCTTCTGCACCGTCTTCCGATCCTGCTCCTGCTCCTGCACCGTCTACCGGTACCACCAATGTACCTCCTGCTCAAACAATAGACAAGGAGACAATTTCAAGAAAAAGGAAAGAAAAGTCTGACGTTTGGCCACACTTTAAGCGTTTTAAGAAGGATGGAGTGGACAAAGCAAGATGCATTTATTGCAATGGTGTTTTTATTGCTCCCACTAGATATGAGACTTCTACTCTGCGGAATCATAAAGATAGTTGTTTGGAAAAGATAGAAAAGGGTGAGCTGATAGTCGACCATCTATCATCTTCTGGAGGCCAGGTACACACTCTTGTCACTTGGAAATTCGATCAGATTGTTGCTAGGAGAGTTTTAGCGGAGGTGATTATCATAGATGAATTACCATTTAGGTACGTTGAACATGAAAGGTTCAAACGGTTTATGGCTCGTGTTTGTCCAATGTTTGTGTTACCTAGCCGTCAGACCGTTAGAAAGGATTGTATCAAGGTCTTCTTTGAAAATAGAGAGTTGTTGAAGGACTATTTCAAGACTAAGTGTTTAGGGATGGTATCGCTCACAACTGATACTTGGACTTCTTTGTCCAATCTCAATTATATGTGCATTACTGCTCATTTCATTGGTAGAGATTGGAAATTGCATAAAAGAATTATTAACTTTGTCCAAGTTACAAAAACATTCTGGAAGTTAAATTGGAAAACAGTTGGCTAGTTGTTTGGTGGAGTGGGGCATTAGGAAGGTGTTTTGTATAACAATGGACAATGCTAGTGTCAATGATGTGGTTGCTATCCATATGAAGGAACAGTTGAAAGAGTGGGGATCAGATATTTTGGATGGAAAGTATCTGCAGATGAGGTGTGTGGCTCACATTATTAATTTTGCTGTGAAGGATGGGCTTAAAGAAACTGGTAAATCTGTGGAGCGAGTGAGAGAGTCTGTGAAGTGGGTTAAATCTACACCAACTAGGAGCAGAAAATTCAAAGATTGCATTGAGTTTGAAAAGATAGTGTCGAAGAAATTTGTTTCGTTGGATGTAGCTACAAGGTGGAACTCAACGTATCTGATGTTGGAATCTGCAAAGCCATTTGAGAAAGCATTTCAGACATTATCTAGAAATGATAAGAAATTCAAGAAACATCTCAATGAAAAAAATATGGAAAGGAAAGCTTTGGTATCACAACTTCTGATGATTGGTCTAGTGTGGGCAGGTTGATTGATTACCTGAAGTTATTCTATGATTTGACTGTTCGAGTTTCTGGGACTTCATATGTGACTTTACACTTATGGTTTGATGAGGTATGTGAAATGTATACTATGATATCTGATTGGGCTGATGGTATAGATTTTGAGGTGTCTTGCATGGCTGAGAGAATCAAGTCCAAACTTGCCAAGTATTGGTTTGAAGATGAGTTGGAGAATTCCAAGATGAATCGGTTGTGTCATATGGCAGTCATATTAGATCCTAGGCGGAAAGTTGAATATCTTGAACAAGCTTTGAAGAAGGTATATGATGAGAGCAGGGGTAAAGCTTTGGTCGAAGAGGTGAAAGATGAAATGCGTCTTCTGTTTGATCATTACAAGCATAGGCTCGGACTTCCTGGCAGTTCTCCCATTGTGATTCAGGAAGATGAGCAAGAACTGATACAATTCTCGCTACCACAACAGCGTTCGAAGGCCAAGAGTAATGCTGATTGGAGATCAAAGTTCTATAAAGATTCGAGGTCGAATCTTCTTCAAGACAGAGGGAATGATGCGATATCGACTAATGCGATATTAAACTCTTGTGGTCCAAAAATGAAGATTCAAGTCCAACGATATAAGGATCAATTGGGATCGTTCTTGATAGATAGAATTTCCCAATATCTTGGAGATGGACACGTTAGGAATAATTGCATGGCTGGGTTATTGGTATTACAATAATACATGTGAAGATTATGGGGGAGATTAATTATCAAAGAGCCACGTGATTACAGGTTTTGGGATTCATTAGTTGGTTGGTGGAATTATTGCATGGATTAATTAATGGTTGATTAATTCAACCTTTAACTCTCACACGTGAAGAGTGAGGGCAAGGAAGGATTCCGCTGCAGCTAAGAAAAGAAGGAAGGACGGAATCAATTCCGCTGCGGAGAAGGAAAAGGACAGCAGAGCGGTGCAATGGTGAAGTTGAATTAGTAGTTTATTTATGTGTTAGTTATTATTATATTTTCTAGTTAGTTTGGGATTTGTTTTCCTATTCCTTTTAGGTTAGATTTATGTTTTTGAGACCTTTATAAATAGTGGGTGTAAGACCTACGAATTTTGTACCCATTATCCAATATTGAAGTTATCAATTAAGAGTTTTTACTCGTGTTCCTTTGTGAACGTTTGTGCAAGCTTCTGTCGAGAGTCTCCAGGAGTTTCACGTGTCTCTTATCAACTAGAGAACACGTCTAGTTGTGGCGAGCATGTATCCTATATCAATTGCCCCTTTCCACGAGTTGATAGTGTCCGATTGGTTTAATATACCAATTTCCCTTTGTCACGAGTTGAGATTGTCCGATTGATTCCGCATCTATCTTTATTTTTCGAGTTCAAGAAAGGCGATATCAGAAAATCATAAAAAGATCGTTGAAGCTGCGTACTTTGATCATATCAAGAACCTAGTGGAAGTGGGGATGGGAAGAAGAAAGGGAAGATTTGGGGTGATTTTAGGAAAATGAAAAGAGAGGCCATTCTGAAAAGAACTAGAAAAAGTTCCAAATCTGAGTTTGATAGGTACCTTGAGGAGGAGGAGGAGGATGATGAAGTGGTTACATGAGCATTGGTGGGTTCAGAAGAGGATGAATACAAGTTTGACATCTTGAGATGGTGATCGCGAAGTGGGATGAAATATCCTACTATTTCTGAGATGGCTAGGGATATTCTTGTTGTTCCTATTTCCACTGTTGCTTCTGAGTCGGCATTCAGCACAGGAGGTTGAGTTTTAGATTCGTTTAGGACCTCCTTATCCCCTGTAGTTGTGGAGGCTTTGATTTGTTGTGAAGATTGGATAAGATCTTCAGACTCCGAGTTGGTGGCTGATGGAGAAGATGAGGGTGATGAAGTGGTATTTCAAAATGGCAAGGACTTAATCTTTCTCTTTATTCTTATATTTGTTATCTTGATCAAGTAATATTCTAACAAGTTGTTATTGTTTATGTTATCCAGTATATGCAGCTTTTCATGCTCGGAGTGCAAGTGCACCTGCAGGACCTAGTGGAAGCTCTCCTGCTACCCATGTTTTGGTCCCGAGTCCTACTATGTCACAAGTGGAAGAAGACTATGTCGATGACAATTCTGATGAGAATGATGAGACTTATGTGGATGTAGAGCCTGATGAGGAGTGATAATGGTAGTAGTGTTTATCTTGTATGGTGGATGAACTTTGATTTTACTTGGATGTTATCATTTGAGAATTGTAAAACTAATGTGTTTAATTACGAGTTGAAGATAATATCATCTATGATTGTCGGTATTTTATGTTGAACAAATTTATTTATAGTTTTGCGCCAAACACCAAACATTTGTTTGCATATAATAGTTGATATACTTTCAATTTTGGACCTATGCTATTACTAAAACATTTAATTATATGAAAATCTACAATTAAATGGCCCAAAAGGTTGTATTACTCAACATAGCAAAATAAGATATGATTAAGTTACGTATAAAATATGTTTAAGTATTTTACTTTGTCTCTAAACTAGTAATACTCTTTAATAGTTAATAGTAAGTCTATAGTTATAGAATACATAAAATTAAATATTTTAATGATGAACTAATATTTTCATAATAAAATAATATATAAATATTAATTTTATACTGACCACGTCCCATAAAATTAAACATAATGGTTAAATAAGAATGTACAAATAATAAGAATAAAATTGTTTGTACAAGCAAAAGAATGTAAAATTCAAATCACAAAAGTATTAAAAAAAAAACTCAAAACGGTTTGGTTTCGGGTTCACCCGAATCGAACCAAAACCACAAGCATAGTTTTCGGGTTCCTGTACCCGAAACCCACAAAGTATAGTTTCGGGTTCGGTTTCGGGTTGTGTGACTCGATTTCGGGTTTTGGGTTTTTCGCGAGTTTCGGGTTCGGTTACCCGACCCAAACCGACAGGCCTAAGTACGAGGCGAGCGTCTGTTCTTGTATCTGGTTGTCTCCCATCAGGCAGTGATTACGGTGCTGGTCAGAAAGTCGGTTGAAGACGAAAAATACCTGTCGGTATACTACGTTAGCAAAGCGTTACTACCAGCGGAAACGCGATACTTACCGGTCGAGAAGGCGGTCCTAGCAATCGCCATGACCCCAATTTTCGAATATTACACTTTTGGCAAACTTTTCAAATTTATGAACATATTTGGCTCGTGTTACGTTTTGACCGTCACAAGTTAACGGTTAACTAATTTCCCCGTAAGTGACTCAGCAACCTTTGCTGACTCAGACCACCACGTAATTAGTTGATAAAAAACAATCTGAGACTCATTATACCTTTGCACAATAGAACAATCTCCCTGAATTATCTGATGTCCTAGACCTTTGCACAATACACGGAACATTGTGCTCGCATCTCTCCACGTGTCTGTTGGTAGAACTTGAAGCCCCTGAACTTGCAATTCTGGATCTTCCTACCTTCTTAAAATATGAAATGGTTCCTTCCTCACCTGTCGGGTATGGCGAGAACAAGAGGTAAACAACTCGATTGGGGAGGGGAGGCGACGAAGAAAGGTTGCGAAGGATGGCGCCGACGAAGGTAGGTGTCGGCGAGGGTATCTCACGGCCAGGGATGGCAACGACAGAGGGCGGCGAGGTCTGGGCGTTGACGAGGGCGGCAAGGTCTGGGCGTTGACGAGGATGGCCAGTGATAGAAGGAAGACGACCAATGACGGCGGCGCTCGCGCTGGGTGGAGGCGGGGGATGGCCAACGATGGTGGAGCTCGCGCTGGGTGGAGGAGGGTGGATTGGCGCTCGCAATGGGGGTGTGGAGACGGAAGCAATTGGGAGAAAAGATAAGGAAGTAGGGGTTTTGTTTTGTTTGTTATCTACTAATGATGTGGTGGTCTGAGTCAGCAAAGGTTGCTGAGTCACTTACGGTTACGGGGAAATTAGTTGACCGTCAATTCTAACGGTCAAAACGTCACACGGGCCAAATACGTTCATAAATTTGAAACGTTGGCCAAAAGTGTAATATTCGAAAATTGGGGCCAAAATCGTCACTAATGCCAAACTTCCGGCCAGAATGGGTTATTAAGCCTAAATTATAGAGTAAGATATGTTTAATGGTTATCAATTTTCTTGATTTGTGTAGCTTTAATATTCAATTGGCTTGCTTTAAGCTTTTATAATCCATTATTATCTTCTTATAGAATTTTTTATTCTTCAAATGATGAACCGAAACTTTCAATTCCAGAGTTGTGCTTGTAACTTACCAGTGAGAGAATGACGTTGGTGTCGATAAACCTTAGTTTACTCATGTTGTGCTAGTAAATTTGGACTTTAGAAGAAAGTCTGTTTACTTCACAGCGAGGAAAGGGAGGGGCTTATATTTGTACAACTATGATGATCATGCCATTGTGACAACCTTGCCTAGCCCTGATATGTAGGGGTGGAAATTGGTACGGTATTGGTATCCCAATACCAAATACCGAAATCACGAATACTGAATTACACCCTAAAAGCAATCTTAATTCCAATCTCTAAATAATTTCGGTATCCCAATCCCTAAATATTTCGGTATCCTAATCGGTACTTCGGTATCCCAATCGGTATTATCGAATACAAAATCAATTATCTTTGAAATTAGTAATTAAAAATATAAATTAGATTTGATAGTTTAATTTAGGGCAAAGAGACTAAGCAAAGAGTCTTGAGTTTGCCTAGAGCTAGGACATGGATAAGGAGAAGGGGGGAGAGGTGACAACTAAATTTCTTGTCATTGATAATCATTAATTTGACGAATTGGAGGCTAAGAAACGACAAATACTAGCGTTTTCTTTTTGATGTCATGAAAATAACAAGGGATTAGATGAGAGTGACTTAAACTAAATAGAAAATTTTGAGTTGAATGAGGACTTGTGAGTTATGAAAGAGTGGGAATGACCAAAAGTTGTGTGTTATATTTCATTAAGTTTTAATTTTTGTTGTTTCTCGGTATTTCGGTATTTTTCGGTATATTTCGGTAATATACCGATCTCAATTCCGTAAATCCAAATACCGAATTGCACTCCAAATCGAATCCCAATCCCGATCCCTAAAAAATAAATCGGTATTCGATAATACAATATAGTGATAAGCTCGATACTGTATTCTGTATATCCCAAATATTGATACCAAACTTACATCCCTACTGATATATGATGATAATTGGAGGGAAGATGGGTCTGTTATGTTGTACGAGTAGGCAACACAATCAATGCTAATTCAAATAACACATTTGATTTCGAATAACCAAGTAACGACGCAGACATTAGGAATGTGTTTGCTTCATATGGAAATCCAGGAAATGTGTTCAGAAGACAGAGAGTGGAAATCCAGGAATGTGTTTACCGGTTGAAGTCCTCACAAAACCGTGTAACTATCAATTGTAAAGGTCAGGTAGAATTCTTTAGCACCATCCAATGCTCATCACAAAAAGAAAATTCCGATTAAATTAGAAGAACCTCCTAGCAAAAAAGCTTCACCTGACCAATTCGTTCCTCTCACTCCCACATTGTTTCGTTTCACGGATTATTATCCATATCAGGATTCCTGCAGAAGGATTGCTTCCCTCCCTATCACCTCCTCGACTTCTTCTTCGACTTGGACGACTGGTTCGAATGGGACGCACCTTTCCCAGCTGCAGCTTTTGTGACGTTGGAAGCTGCAGATTTCGTAGCATTGGAGCTCGTGCCAGCAGCAGCAGAAGCAGCATTCGAGGAGGAAGCAGAAGGTTCGTTCTTTTCTCTAGCAACAGCACCCTGAGAGCCTCTGACCTGGGCTGCTCTCTTATCCTTCCTCTTTGGTCTGTAACTTGATCTCTCCCTCTTCGGAAGCCACCTTTCTGGATCAGGCGGAGGACCCGGATTCGCTGGATCAAACCCTTTCGGATACCTCGGCTTTCTCTTCCTCTTCTTCTTCTGCTTCTCCTCCTTCTTATTCCCTTCTTCCACGGCCACTTGACGTGGGGCTCCGTCGACATGCTTAGCCCCGGATGTCTTCTCCAGGCTTTCGACGTCGATCCCCCCGAGACCTGGCAGTGGCTTCAACTTTTTCCTGTAACTCCCCGCCTTCTCGACATCCACACGGGCAATCGTGCTGACCAGCCCGGTCAGCACCTCAATGCTGCTGCCGTGGGTTTTTATGAGCTCCTCGTACAGCCGGGCAGCTTCTGCTTCCTGCCCGTGTCTGACCTTGAACGATGCCGCCTCTCGCATTATGATGGTCAACTTGGTGGTGTCCTCAGTCATGGCGTTTGACCAAAATTTGACAGCCGAGTCAAGCACCAAAGAAGCGCCTTCGACGTCGCCAGCTCGCTCCTTGAGTGCAACGAGGGTGGCCACCGTGGCGGGCATGTGTTGGATATCGGGTATTCTGGAGAGGGAGTCTGCTGCTATCTGGTGGTGATTGGAGATGGCAGCGATCTGTGCTCTGGCAAGAAGAGCGATCTTGGACTGGTAAGGGAACTTGATGGAGAATTGATCGAGTATTTCTTCCGCTTTGGTAGCTTTCTTCTCCTTGACTAACACGGAAGCCTGAAGGAGTGCCGGGATCTCACTGTCTGCGAACATAGATGGTAATGCTGACACAAGCTCCCGTGCCTGTAAGACATTTCAAGTATTCGCAACTTCTTAGAACAAGATATCAAGGAGGACCCCAACAAATTAGCCATCTGGCTATGAAATACTCATCAACTCAAAATTTTCTAAAAGTCCTTGCCAACCACACCTTTTCTTCACCCGTTAAAGCAAAACCCCACACTTAGGTTTATAATAAATAAGGAAAGGCAAAGATCTGAATATATGACCTGATCCATTTTGTTTGCATGGAGAAGTAAGAGAACCCTATTTGCATATATGGTCTCCCTTTGTTTTAGAGAGAGCTTGTCGAGAGCACGAGCAAGCCGGTAATCAGCACCTCCTTGTTCCTTCAGAAGATCGAGTTTCTTCAGACTATCAGACACCTCTTTGGGTCCTCTTTGAGCAACTAGGTTATTTACAGCCACAGCAAGAGATGACAGATCATCCGCGAGATTTGGGCTGATCAACTCAGTGTAAGCTTCGATGGCTTCATCTGATTGCCCTAAAAGCTGACGAGAGAAGGCATTTAGGGTTAGAGATCATGAAGACTTGAATAGGAGAGTACGGACTAAAGGTACAATCAGGACGATGTTTCACCTGCTGAACATGTGCCAGCTGGACAGCTATAGGAGCTAATTCAATTTCTATGTCCTCCTCAGCCCAATTAGCATCCAGCAATGATTCCTGGCCAATTCTACAGGAATATAACAGGGGAAAATATGACAAGTCAGCATCAGTAAGCCATGGATTCATAAGTCTATCATAATCAAGATAGAGCTCACCAATAGACAATGGATTCACAAGTTTACCAGACTCAAGATAGAGCTCACCAAAGCAGGCTTTCCAACAATATGAACCCTAGACCAAACAATCCAAAGAGAAGGATAATGGAACTACTGATCACAACATGTCACTTGTAGTCTTCAACAATCTAGGTTCAAAAAACCGAAATTAAAGTAATTCAGCCTAAAAATGGCAGTAACCAGGACATGTTCATGGATGCTAATGGCTATATTATCTAGAAACCAAGCAACACTTTTGTAATATGCATCTTAGCAGTCAAAGAAAACTCAACCAAAGTATATCTTCCAAAGAAGATAAAACACTAGACCAAGTTCTTGCAACAAACATATTAGACGAGACAAATAAAGCATAATAGAACATCTGATAAACAAATGTCAGTCTTCAGAAACTAAAATCGAGACCCAAATCTTCATTCACCCTAAAAACGCCAGTGAATCATCAGGACAAGCAGACGAATACTACTCTACAAACAGTAATACATGCGTCTCTGCAGCCAGAAAACCAAATCATGCATCAATCACCTTCTTGCTTGCTGCAATAGCTGTTCGGCTTCTGCGTATTTTTTCACTTCAATCAAAGAACAAGCAGTGTTGAATGCCAAATCGTAGCTGCTAGATGGCTTGATCCGTTGTGCATCCAGCATGCCTTGCACTTCAGAAGACCTCCCAGCTAGGATCAAACTCGCAGCAAGATTTATCTCCAATGAATCAAGCTCTGACTTTCGAAGCTTCTGATATACATCAATGCACTCAGCCATTCGCCCAAGACGGAACAGAATCTGAGCTTCCAACAGCATTGTCTCCGAATTTCTCTCCTGCCCTTTCAGCAACTCCAATGCCTCGTCCAGTTTGTTTTGTTTGTACAAGCAGTATGCCTGTGCAGAGAAGCCACAAACATAAACGAAAGAAACTCATTTCCGAAGTTCAACCCTCTTAAGCCAAGCAATTATCAAGGAATTCCAAACAAAAAACAAAGACGGAGCGAAACAAAATGCACCTCTTCAAAGCTGAAATCGAACTTGAGATTCTTAGTAGATCGAATCGCCGATAGAGCTTCGTCGTAACTGTCGTTCTTAATCAAAGCCACCACTTTGCACCGGAGCGCATCTTCGTCTCCAGGTGCAATCGCGAGAACTGCAAATTCAAACAACAGCCCCAAACATCAGAACTCGAATGCCGAAACGAGAGAGAGAGAGGGAGAGGAGCCTGTAAAATATGCGAAGACAGTGTTGACCTTGGTCAGCGACCCGAACGGCCTTTTTCAGCTCCGATTGCTCGTTGTTCCGATCGCCAGATCCCTCGATGTGCGAATTGAGTTTGGTGAAGAGATCTTCAATTGCAGGGGGCGGCTGCCGCGGCGAGGCCGGTGAAGGCTTCGCCTTATCTTTCGGCTTCGGAGCCATGATTTTCTCCGGCGAAGTGTGCCTAGTCAGTACCGGAGCGGGAGAATGCGATCGACTTAAGGCGGCTGCTTGCGAGTTGAGACCTGAGTTGCGGGGAGAAGACAACGAACGGGATTTCTCCGGCGTGCGTCACTTATCCTGGAAAATGGTCGGGGTGGTCACCGCAATATCAACATTCACCTCATCAGGGCCAAATTCGGGCTCAGGCCTTGTAAAATTCAGTGGGCTCATAAGATATGATGTGGCACTGGCTGAGTTCGCTAAACTGAATCTAAACCCGCTAGCCTAAAAGATCTGGCCCAACCCGCCATTCGCCAAAGTAAAGGAGAGTAACAGAAAACTTTATCCGTCCTATCCGTTTTTCTGTTGTTTTCGTTAATTAATTGTTACTAGTATTTATGCCCGCATTCTGCGCTGGGAGTTGTGATACATTAGCAAAATAGAAAGATTACATCATGCATTTTTAGACATTGTATCATCATGTGTTTTATTTGCTATAATTATTTATTAATTTGCTACTTAAAACCCAAGCAAAATACTATTAAGCCTGCAGGCATCTCATAGAGCAAAGCAGACAATTTTAAGAAGGCTGAATTGAACAAATATTAATACACAGGTAGATATCAATTTCCCATGTAACAGAAAGACACAAACCATCACCAACATTGCAGAACCCACCTAACCCAGTTACATTTAACAAAATATCTTTATCACACAACAACCTTTCCTCAAGTCCAAAAAACCAGCTGCAAAAAATCAAAGAAACAAAGTCAATTGGAGGTAGTTAATCGCAAACAAAAGATGAAACTCACGAAGGCAAGTCAGACATCCCCGTTAGACAATCTATATGGCAAAGGTTACCTGCTTGGTTCAGCTGGACGCACGCCGGTGAGGGGAATACTCTGCAAGCACCACTGTCAGAAATGATGAGGGAAGTAAAAAATATTAAAAGTAAGATGTATAATCAGCCAGCAGTAAACAGAGAAGAGAGAGACTGAAAATCTCACCCAACGTCACTATTTCGAGGCCCCCTCCTTCGCTTGAGATTTTTCAACTGATTGATCTTCAAATCCAAGAAATCCTCTCCTTTAGATGGTATGTGACTCGCTATGAAACAACTCCTAACAATGGCCAAATGTAACCAATGGAAGAGACTGCAATATAGTGGCTCAAGTAATAAATATCGAATCCACGGGTCTCTAGAGTTACTATTACTCAGCTTCAGTTCATTATTTAGCAACCCAGATTAATAAGGAAGAACTAAAACTACTCTAGCAAACTATAGTTAAATTTAATCTAATTACAGGTTGGGAACTCACTTAGGTATGATCCCCCCTAGCCACTAGCCAGATTAATGATTGATGATCTCTAACCTGTTTCACTTTCATTCACAATGCGGAGAATCCTTAACTAGACCTTGAGTCTTGACTAAAGGAACAAGGCCCTCTTGAGTCAATTGCCTAGAGGGACGTATGCTTCTCTAGAACAACCGATCAAGGCATTCTGAACTAGACTCCCTCTATCGAAAGAGGTTCTCAATCGATACAAAACAGTGAATCAACCCTCGACTAAAGCAATTGATCCAATACTATCAATCTATGGTGCTTTATTGACCTAATCAGGTATTCGCTCTCGTAGGATCAAAGCAGAATCAATAATCTCGACTAAAACAGAATTGAATCATGAAAACGTGCATAGATTGAATATGAACTCAAGGTTATCAAGTAGGAGTACTCATACAATCATCCAATCAAACAAACATAGCTAGGGTTCCTCAAAACCTAAGTGAAGTCACTCCATAGAGAAGAGAGATAATGCAGTAAGAATCTTCAGATGATCAGTCTTCAAGTTTGGGCTTGTTCCTCGAGCTTCCAAGGCGAAGAAATTCTCCAATTCCACATTTAGAATGCTCTCAAATCGCCCTCTCTCTCTTTGGTTCATCCCTTGGGTGTTTGGGATCCAAAACCCAACTCCCCCTTTCCTTTGGCCTCAATCTGCCTAAAAACCCCGATTCTGGGCAAAACACGGTCGAGGACACGGCCGTGTTTTACTTTTGCCCGCCTGTGTTTTGCCCATAGCAGCCCTCGTCGGCCAAAACACGGTCGTGCCTAATATGGACACGGTCGTGTTTTTCTTTAGGCTAACCCGTGTTTTTACTGCCGAACCTGTTCCCCTATATTCAATGCTTCGTTTCTCCCTCGTCCGGACTCCGAATCAGTCGCCGTTTGATCCCAGACGCTCGTAGTCTCGTTATCTTTCTTTTCATGAGAAGCTTGAATGATTCTTTTTACATAAAGTGAGGTAGAAATCCATTCTTCTTCAGGTCATGCTCGAGTTTCTTCTCCCTAATCGCCAATTGATCTCTGATTGACTTGAAACTTGTGCCTATGCTTCACTTTATGTGCTAGGACCTGAAATGTGACAAAGGAACACAACCTAGCCTAAAATAGGCCAAAGACGCGATAATTAAAGTCAAACAGTCAAGAAACAAAGGGGAAAACATGTGCAAATATCGAGTCATCAAATCCCCCCACACTTAACCGTTTGCTTGTCCCCAAGCAAACCTAACTCAAACCAATGCAGCTCTCCAGACCTCTATAGAAACATACAACCCCGATCGTCGGTAGAGGATTTCCTAGATCATATAGCAGCTTACGAGGTCAACTGGTCTTCTAAGACATTCCCTATCTCTCTCAATGCGAGTACTATACTCAAGCCAGGATCTTGAGAAGAAGTAGGAGTAAGACAGTCAGTTCATGGATAAAGGGACTCATATCATTCACAACCAAGGACTCGTGGTACCGGGGTGCTCTTTCACTTCATTTCACTATTGGAACCCCTTTCTCACTTTCATTTTACTTTTTTTTTTCTTTTGCATTCACTTAGCGGGGGTTCCAACTGCAGTCTTTTGCACGGTCGAACCTTGTTAGTCGAGCAAGAACAATTTCTGTACATCTGGCGCTCGCCAGAGTACTTCTTTTAACTCCTTTTCCTCAACTCGTGTGGAGGGTCAATGAAATTAAGGGGTGTCGGAAGCTCTATCCGTGCCCTTAAAACACATCCTCAAGTAGGCAAAGCGTTCAATGGGTGGAAGTTTTACTTGTAGTAGAGACGACTTAGCTTCACCTTGTAGGAGTACCCCCACTAAGGATCACTAAAATCTCTTCCAAAACCCAATTTTGTGCAATGAACGGTGCCACACACGTTGGGCTTACCCCATGTTTAAGATTTAAAGATTTCGACATGGAGGACCAACTACTTTTCATTTTTCACATGAGCATCATGTTAGATACACGAGTCCATAACACAATCCAAATAGAGTCACCATTACCACATGAATTCAACGGTCTTAACTCCAGTAATTCACAAAATCAACTGGCACAACAGAGAGCTAGATAGGAAAAATCTTATACTTCAACATCCTCCATAGTGCTACACTACCTCCCTAGGTTGCACCTTACTATAGAGACTGTCAATTCAAAGCATACTGAACAGGCAATTTGCAAGGAAACACGTACTTGGAGCCCCTCAAATTTAAAAATTTGGATAGTGGACTAGGCTCCAAGCACACAAACAGCCAAACATTCACCCGCATACATAATCGAACATCATAATCGAATATCCCCCCACACTTAAGCACGACATTGTCCTCGATGGATGAAAGATAAGGAGGGTAGAACGAAGTTACCAGATCAAGGGTGAATGATGGTGGACGGGCAGGCGGTGCATTCCAGGAGGAGAGAGTTGTCGGAACACAAACACCACACAAAATCTCACAAAGTTTGAGTTATTGACTCTAAAATCAAAGAACAAAACTGACTCAACCGAGGGGAAATAGAGAAAGAAATGCAAACCGACTGGTTGGGTTGCCTCCCAACAAGCGCTTCTTTCACGTCGTGAGCCGGACGATGGCTCCTTAGTTTCGGTCCACCCCAGAACCTCCTTGAAGTTGAGGTTCTCGTCGATGAGGTGGAGTCTCAAGTCACAAACATGTGGTATGACAGGTGATGGAAGCTCGTGCACTTGATGCATATAACGTCTCCACCCTCGAGACCTCTTCTTCTCTTCTCTCGTCTCATTGCCCCAAACCAGATATGACAACATCGATTGACCACCATCGCGTCCACCAAGAGGGACCGATGTCGACGTGGCCTTGGTCTGGCAAAGAGACACTGCAAATGGGTCCTTGCTAAGCAGTTCCTCAAAGTTTGGTGGAGATATCACATGTAACTCATGGCCGGTGCAAGTCTCTTCCACCTCAACTTTGTCCCCGGCCTGGACGCCAATTGCTTCTTCAACCGCCCTTTCTTCTTCATGTGGTATCACCCCTGGTAAATGATCAAGAACTCCTTCTTCTTCACTTTCGTCATCCTCCACAACTTCTTTCTGCACCTTTTCTCCCTCTTCTTCTTCTAGAACGGATTGGAGAGCAAGTTGCCAAGAAATTTCTTTCATGAGATCTTCTTGCATCTCCTCACTCATGCCCGCCTCTTCAAAGCTCAGTTTGGGATGTAAGAAGGTGTGGTCGGCTACGACAGGACATTCCTGATCATGATCATCACGGGAGCTCTCCGTGACAACTTCAGTGTGCTCCACAATGTCCTTGTAGGCTTCTTCTTCCTCCTCCTCTTCTAGTATGGTAGAAGAAGGGTGATCTGGAGCAGGTTGTACACAAGATCGCTCAAGATCATCGACGCTCTTCTTAAGGCTCAGGAGGATCTCTTCTGTTTCACGATAGGCCTGGGTACAAAGATCCATCCTCAACAATGATCTCTCACTGTCTCGAGCAAACTGCTCCATGAGAAGCCTCAACTCATAATTTGGATCGGTTGTGGAGTGTAGCATGGCTCTGCAGAATGGCCCGTGAAGGCTGCCATGGGTAACTCCAGCTCCAATGGCCCTTCTGGTTGTGGGAGAAATTCTTCTTGATAATGATGTTGTTCTTGATATGCCCAGGGGTCTGATTTTTCTACGTAGTAAGGGGGTTGGTACTGGAACCCTAATTCATAGTATTCTCCTTCTTGATTGCTGCAGGGAGTCTCGGGGTAATACCACTCGGATGGTGGTGGATACCCCCAATGGTTGGAGAAGCCATGAGGATCCATGATTCAGATCCGCACAAAAAAAAAATGAAAACACCCAAGTGAAAAGCAAGGGTGAAAAAGAACAGAAAAGAAAAACGCTATAGTAACAAACTTCTGCCTTTCCTAATAACTAGAAAGTCGCCGGCAACGGCGCCAAAAACTTGACTCGCTATGAGACAACTCCTAACAATGGCCAAGTGTAACCAATGGAAGGGACTGCAGTATAGTGGCTCAAGTAATAAATATCGAATCTACGGGTCTCTAGAGTTACTATTACTCTGCTTCAGTTCATTATTTAGCAAACCAGATTAATAAGGAAGAACTAAAACTACTCTAGCAAACTACAGTTAAATTTAATCTAATTACAGGTTGGGAATTCACTTAGGTATGATTCCCCCTAGCCACTAGCCAGATTAATGATTGATGATCTCTAACCCGTTTCACTTTCATTCACAATGCGGAGAATCCTTAACTAGACCTAGAGTCTTGACTAAAGGAACAAGGCCCTCTTGAGTCAATTGCCTAGAGGGACGTATCCTTCTCTAGAACAACCGATCAAGGCATTCTGAACTAGACTCCCTCTATCGAAAGAGGTTCTCAATCGATCAAAGCAGTGAATCAACCCTCGACTAAAGCAATTGATCCAATACTATCAATCTATGGTGCTCTATTGACCTAATCAAGTATTCGCTCTCATAGGATCAAAGCATAGTCAATAATCTCGACTAAAGCATAATTGCATCATGAAAACGTGCATAGATTGAATATGAAGTCAAGGTTATCAAGTAGGAGTACTCATACAATCATCCAACCAAACAAACATAGCTAGGGTTCCTCAAAACCTAAGTGAAGGGAAGTTACTCCATAGAGAAGAGAGAGACTGCAGTAAGAATCTTCAGATGATCAGTCTTCAAGTCTGGGCTTGTTCCTCGAGCTTCCAAGGCAAAGAAATCCTCCAATTCCACTCTTAGAATGCACTCAAATCGCCCTCTCTCTCTTTGGTTCGTCCCTTGGGTGTTTGGGATCCAAAACCCAGCTCCCCCTTTACTTTGGCCTCAATCTGCCTAAAAAACCCGATTCTGGGCAAAACACGGTCGAGGACACGGCCGTGTTTTACTTTTTCCCGCCCGTGGATTTCCCCCAGCAGCCCTAGTCGGCCAAAACACGGTCGTGCCTAAATATGGACACGGCCGTGTTTTTCTTTAGGCCAGCCCGTGTTTTTACTGCCGAACCTGCTCCCCTATATTCAATGCTTCGTTTCTCCCTCGTCCTTCACTTAGAATGCCCTCAAATCGCCTCTCTCTCTCTTTGGTTTGTCCCTTGGGTGTTTGGGATCCAAAACCCAGCTCCCCCTTTCCTTTGGCCTCAATCTGCCTAAAAAACCAGATTTTGGGCAAAACACGGTCAAGGACACGGCCGTGTTTTACTTTTGCCCTCCCGTGTTTTGCCCCCAGCAGCCCTCGTCGGCCAAAACACGGTCGTGCCTAAATATGGACACGACCGTGTTTTTCTTTAGGCCAGCCAGTGTTTTTACTGTCGAACCTGTTCCCCTATATTCAATGCTTCGTTTCTCCCTCGTCCGGACTCCGAATCAATCGCCGTTTGATCCCAGACGCTCATAGTCTCGTCCTCTTTCTTTTCATGAGAAGCTTGACTGATTCTTTGTCCATAAAGTGAGGTAGAAATCCATTCTTCTTCTGGTCATGCCCGAGTTTCTTCTCCCTAATCGCCAATTGATCTCTGATTAACTTGAAACTTGCGCCTATGCTTCACTTTATGTGCTAGGACCTGAAATGTGACAAAGGAACAGAACCTAGCATAAATTAGGCCAAAGACACGATAATTAAAGCTCAAACAGTCAAGAAACAAAGGGGAAAACATGTGCAAATATCGAGTCATCAGTATGTACGTGGGTTTCAACTTTCAACAACCATCACCGGCCACCCAAACCTCTAACAGGAACTCGCCGCATGCATCTGTTTAAAAGAGAGCTTAATTTACAAATTAAGTTGAGAAAAATCAAAACATCGCAGCAGAGAGATGAAGCAAAAACATCAAATTCTCACCGCATAATGTTAGAGGTGCATCAAAAACATCAAATTCTTACCAGGAACTCGTCGCATGCATCTATTCAAAAATCTCGCTCTCCTCCGTCAGGATCTCGAGTCCACACAGTGGGTCCTATCCAATGCCGATCTATAATCTAAACCCCAAAAAATCAAATGAGATCACAAAAAGACTTAAGTTCATCAAATCTTACACAGAGCTGGGGTCCTTCGTTCCTCGGAGAGGTCGGAGATGATAAATAAACCTGCATAAAGGATCAAACGAATATACTGAGAAAGGATGAGAGAACGAACCCATTTAGGAACAAAGAGAAACAAATACCCATAAGAAGTGGAGGGCCAATCACCTGAACCAAAAACATAAATGGGCAACCTGTAACTTTCTGGATCCACTCTAGGCCCCTCAAACCCAAATCTTGATCGCTTCAAACTTTGTTCATATGCTAAGAAGAGAGATTCGAGAACCAAAGCAGAGAGAGAGAGAGAGAGAGAGATTGAGAGTAAAAGGTTAGAAGTTGCAGGGGTTACCTCGCTTTTCAGTGGTAGTCTGCGGAGAAGCCATTGGAGAATGGGGGGTAAGTGGAATGAGTGGACCAAAATTAGGGAGCTACATGGTGGTTTGGCAACCAAGCAAGAACAAAAATATTTTCTCTAACCATCCCCAACCCAAGAATTCTTTATGGTGCAACGGGCCCAGTCAGTCTACCAGTGACCAACGCGATATCTCTTTCAGCATCTCTCAGATGAGTCAGATCCCTCCGACGCAAAAGCAACCAAAAGAGCACACAAACGGAGGCATAGAGTAAATGAGAAGCCTAAGTGACACAAAAGGCCCACCACAGCTCAACAACCAATCAGCACTCAGTGAATAGTAATTTTGAGTCACAATGAATAGGAAAAGTAGTCTGAATGTACAGTAATTGTTGTTTTGAGCTATTATACTTTTAATTATATTTGGTTTTCGCCGGCCAAAAGCAGGGAAAAAGGAAAACGGAGCGAAGCAGTGGCAGATCCATGGGCTCTAGGGGTGTCCCAGATACCCTTAAAATTTGGGAAAACGATTATTCAACACCCGATAGTAGTTTACATATAGGTAAAAAAAATATATATTTAAGTGGTGGCGGAACACTCCTAAAATTTGGGAAAATTATTATAATCGCCCAATAGTAGTTTGTGTATGGGTAAATATAAACATTTAAGTGGTTGCCTATGTCATTTGAAGTTGGGTCTCTTATAGATAGTTACATCGTGGAATTCAGCTAGGCCAGAAAATCGAAATAACGACAAGCAGACGGGAACAAAGACAGGGCCTGTCTAGCTACCAAATGCCAAATGAGCTACCATATTGCTACCCCGACCTACAAATCGTACACTGAAGCCCGAATTCACCGCAAAGATCTGCACAATTTCCTCGAGAATAGCCCCCACACGACTATCCCTCACATCGGCTCGACGGATCTTATTAATGACCACCTTGGCATCACCCTCGAACCGCATCACCGAAAAACCCCGCTCTAAACACCAGCGGATAGCCTCCTGGAGGGAAAGTAATTCCACCACCATTGGATCATCCACCAAAGGGAATTGCACCCCCGCAACCCCAAGGATTTCCCGCGCCTCATTAAGAATAACCATCCCACCTGCAGAGTGAGACCCCCTGCGTACAACCCCATCCCAACGACACACAGGCCCCCCGACCCACCCAACTACACCAAAAGGGTCAGCTGAGTAGACAATGGGAGGAACTGAGGACATATAGGCACTCGGAGCCATTCGCCTGCCTGCTGGTTATACTGCCTTATTAAGGCAGGAATCCCGAACTGTTTGCCCTCAAAGACAACCCAGTTGCGGGATTTCCAAATCCTCCAAAGGATAGCAACAACCGACATGAACTGCAAGGGTTGGTGAACAATAGACAACAACTTCCTCAGGAAGAGAGGAAACGTATGTCAAGGCAAACCTTCACAAAGATAATCTAAACCAGACTGAGTCCAAAGTGCCCTAGCCACAATACAGTCAAGGAACAAATGTTCCATTGTCTCCGAAACTGCCTAGCAAACCGGGAAACGAGGACGAACCTCAATCTCTCTCTCAATAAGCGCTTCAGTCGTCAGTAAAATTCTATTAAAGATTTTCCAAACAAACACCTTCCACTTCGGAGGAATGTTGACGTCCCACAACTGGATCCAACTTTGCCTATCCATCCAACTTACCTGAGTCCGCCACCGGCCCAACTGCTGTTCTAGGCAAACCGCAAAGTGATAAGCTGATTTCACCGAGAACACACTATTAGCAGTAGCATGCCATATCAAACGATCCTCAATGTTATGCCTCGGGAGGGGGATTTCCTTAATCGCTTGACAAGTCTGGGGATCAAACCACTGACTAAGCTTAGTATCACACCACCGCCCTTCTCCTGTGCAAAGAACTTTGGCCACCTTTACATCCCCTCCCTCAGGCAGGACTCGGGGGTTATAAGTGGGCGGATGAGGATGATGTTTCGTGATCCAATTTGAATTAAGCAACGCAGCCTTCTGGCCATTACCTATCTGCCACCGTAACCCCTTAACTAACAATTGGCGGCCAAACAGTATGCTCTGCCATCCCCAAGATGGGCGGGACCGAGGCGTAGCCGAGAGCAAGGAGCCCCTGGGAAAGTATTTCCCTTTATAAACCTGGGCTAAAAGAGACTGAGGTTCATTCAAAATCCGCCATCCAATTTTGGTCAACAAAGCCTGATTGAATAGTTCGAACCGACGAAAACCCATCCCCCCTTCATGTTTACTTTGGCACATCTTTTGCCAAGAAACCCATCGAATCCTAGACTGGCCGTCCTCCACCCCCCACCAGAATCTCGCCAAGTGCCTGTCCAGGAGGCGACAAAGGGACAGAGGAAGCCTAAAGTACGACATAACATGTAACAGCAGAGCCAGAGCCACCGACTTAATCAATGTTTCTTTAGCTGCCCAAGACAAAGTCCTTCGTTTCCAACCTTATAAGCGCTCTATAAGTTTTTCCTCCAAGTAGAGGAAAGTGGCCATTTTTTACCGAGCTATCAAGGTCGGGAGGCCAAGATACCTATCATGTACCCCCACAACACCTACCCCAAGAATTGCAGCCAATAACTCCTGATCCGGCAAGGAAATGTTCTTACTAAAGCAAACAACCGATTTATCTAGATTCACTCTCTGCCCACTCAGCTCCTCATATTCATTAAGAACTTCAATCAGATTCTCACACTCTTGGAGCGATCCGCGGAGGAACATATAAGAATCATCAGCAAAGAAGTGAAAGAACAAATGAGATATCCGAGGAGCCCGGGGAGCTACTTTGACCCCTTCTAACCTTTTGTTAGAGATTGCCTTACGGAGTAGGGCAGCAAACTCCTCCATACAAAGCACAAAGAGCAAAGGAGAAAGAGTATCCCCCTGACGGAGACCTCGGGAAGGCACAAAGAAACCAGAGAGAGACCCGTTCATGAGAACCGAAAACGTAGCAGATTGCAAACATTCATGCACCCATCATCGTCAGACAGAGTTAAAACCCATCTTTTCCAAAACCGCAAGAAGAAACGACCATTCAACTCTATCATAGGCCTTTTCCATGTCAACCTTAAGATCCATGTATCCATTCTTCCCACGGGTCTTGATTTTCAGATAGTGCATCAACTCGTGCCCCAGGAGGATGTTTTCCACAATCTGCCTTTCTCGGATAAAGGCATTCTGCCCTTCAGAAATGATCAGGGGCAGCAACCCCGCAAGCCTCTTTGCCATAATTTTGGTGATCACTTTGTACACAAATTGGAAGAGACTAATGGGCGAGTTGTCGCATGGATTCCACCTGATCCACCTTTAAGACCAACGTTAGCCAGGTGTGATTGAAGCTACGAAGCATCCTACTTGTTTCAAAGAACGAGAAGACTGTTGCAATAACTGAATCACCCACAATCACCCAGAAGGCTTTGAAGAACTTCCCCGTGAAACCATCCGAACCTGGCGCCTGCTTCGAGCCCATACCAAAAACCGTTCGACGGATCTCATCAGGAAGGACCTCAGTCGTGAGACTTGCATTCATCTCCAGGGTAACACTGGAAGAAATGGAAAGCTCTGCCACTCTCTCAACCATATTGTGCACTTGACTTTCCGAGGTGAAGAGAGTTCGATAGCCTTCCCGTGCTCCTCAGTGATCCAGTCCCCGTCCTCATTATACAGTCCATCTACAAAATTCCTTTTCCGAAGAGTTCTCGTAACCGTGTGGAAGTAGGAAGTATTCTTATCACCCCTTTTCAACCATCGGACTCGAGATTTCTGCTGCCAATACACTTCCTCTGCCTCCCACTACCTAGGGGTGGAAATTGGGGTGGGTGTGGTTACCCGCCCCACATTTTGCGGGTAACCACATCCACAAATATAGAATTACACTACCCACAACCCGCCCCACAGTGGGTAGTGGTTAACTACTATCCACTGTGGGTTGGATGTGGATACCCACAAAAAATTTCCTTCCTGCACCCTTTGGACTCGTATATGATAAACCTATCGGTCGAGTGACGGCAAAAAAAATACATTGAGTTAAAACTAAGTAAAGAAGCCCAAGACATGGAACAAGCGAAGATCCGATATTCGGAACCTTCTAAGTAGTCAACCTCCCTCTCCTCAGTTCACTTCACTCGCTTACATGTCACTTCACTTTCTTTAGGAAATGCAGATTGATAACGAGTATAGATTGAAGGGATCTAATCGTAATATACATAGCATCTTTATTAGCGACATGACTCCTTGCATTTTTAATTCGATTTTTTTTTTGGATAAATGAAACTCTCTCCCGAGTTGCGGAATTAGCGTATTCTTACACAAAAACAAAAACCTAGCTAAAAGAAAGTTAATCAATAAAGCGTTAAATAAACTATAAACCACATTTATCGTCTTTGTTTTGTTATAAAATAAACATATACCACACGGACAATACTTATTTAATAAAAGTATCACATACGAACACGGTGTATTGACTTAGTTTTATTTTATAAAATAAGTATATATTTGATTTTGGAGCCTACTTTAATTTGTAGCATTCTACTTTTCACATACTTTAATATTACATATTATTATTAATAAATAAATATACTTAGTGTGGTTATTGTGGGTTAACCGCTGTCGATAGTGGTTAACCACTAACCACAAAAATCAATATTTTGCTACCCACACCCAACCCACTATCCACAAATTGTGGGTATGGTTACCCACAATGTATGCGGTTTGGTGCGGTTTGTGGATTACCCGCAATCCGCAAAACAAACTTTCACCCCTACCACTACCTATTCAATTTCGTTTCCAAACCAGTCATTGCCTGCCAATCGATCGGATGAACGACCTTTATATGCTCAATCTCATTTTGCAAGGTATGAATATTGCGCAGGGAATTCGTGGTACCCGCTCTGCTCCAATCATAGAGCAAATGGTGAAGCTTCTTTAATCTCTCCCACAGTTGAAACATTGGAGTAGCATGAATTTACTCCTTCCAAACGTATGCAACCATGGCCTTGACTTCTAGATTATCTACCCATCGGGCATCAAAACGAAACAGGGGCCGACACATCCGGACATAAGGTTTGTCAGACAGAAGTAAAACCCGATGACCAGACCCCTGATCAGTGAAATGCTTCACAAGAGTTTCTGGGAAACAATCCATCCAACTTTGGGAACAGAGAGCCCTATCCAGCCTCTCACGAATACAAGCTGACCCCATACGTTTATTTGTCCATGTGAACGGGTCACCCTGGTAACCCGGGTCCTGCAACCCAAGGTCCTGGATCAAATTCCGGAAGTCCAAAGATTGGGAGTCATTTGAAATTGGGTCGATGCTACTATTAGTAAACATATTTTTCATTAGACTATAACTCATTTGTTCTTGTATTTCAAATCCAAATATAATAGTAAAAAGCTATTTTTTATCTCAATTATTTTCAAAAACTAACGATTAAACCCAATTACGAGCTCTCCTAGTCTAGTAGGATATATCGAGATAGATTTATAGAGCATTATTGGACACCGATTGTATTTTACAATTTTTTCCAAAGTACGAAACACGTCATGTGCTTTGTTTTCCTTTGGACAAGTCAGATATTTTCTTATTTAATAATTATTTAATTATTATTTTAACTTAATTTTTAGGAGATGACACCTCAGATATAAAATTTCTGGATCAGCCACTGGAGCGAAGACACTACCTCGTCTATCCTCCTCTCTGATGCACGGATGGCGATCCTGGTACCAGGCTACTCGCAGCATCGATTTCCGACTCAAACCTCTGCCTCTTATTCACCGCTGTATGTATCTCAGCTCGGATTTGGTAGGTATTGGTCATATGTGAAGTTGTGAACTCAGAAGGTAATTTCATCGATAGAATTAAACCATATTCCCGTCATAGGATTGACTGTAAAATTAGCAACGAGAAAAGCCCTGGGTTCCGCTTCGATCGACTCTGAACGATTACATCTTCTATTGCAAGAAGCAGGGGAGACCTGCTGGTTCCGATCGACTTTACTTGACCAAAGATTTGCGGCTTACTCTAGTAATCTATACATGGGATCAACTGGAGAAGGTAATGAATGATTACCATAGCATCTCAGTACTATGGCCTGCAGAATCTGCCGGAAACTAGAGGGTAGGTAAGGCAGTCGTGCAAGCTGAGACTCAATAAATATTTACATGACACTACTGAAACCTTATTCTTTTCACTTCCGGAACACGTAACTAATGTCTTTGAACGCTGGTGTTTTCAGGATAATGTTTGAAAATCTGCACAATACTGGAATCTATACATGGGACTATCTCGTCCACCTTGGATTGGAAGCGAAGCAATAAGGTTTGTCTCATCAAAGACGACATCACAACTTTGAAAAGGCATGGACTTAGCTGCCATCCGCCAAGTGCTTCAAAGTTGAAACTTTCAACCCCGCAAATATGTTTGTCTCAAATGCTTATCTATAATGTCTGTCGTAGTTGTAATGGGGATAGGGTGCGTATCTATTTTAAAACAATACTAAAATGCTGAAATCATGTTGTTCTGGTGATTCGACCATAACAATATTCTATCGATAGACTTTTTACGGTATGAAATGGTTGAACCACGGTTTCAATCCAAAACACCCTATCACTAGCTTTTCTGTAATAAAGTATGTGGTTAAGATACTTGTAACATGCAATGGGTTAGATGCAACAAGGCGGTAAATGATTAGTTTGTTTGAATTAAGGAACTTTTAAACTTGTTATGGAGTTCCATCGTACTAGTAGAAATTTTTTTATACAACAGATAATCACGTATTGATTCAAAAAATAGGTAGTTACATCCTGGAATTCAGCCAGACCCGATAATCAAACAACTGATTTATAGTCGGATACAAAGAGAGGGGCTTTTCGATTCAAGGGTTTTCACCTCCTCCCAGTCAATTGTGTGAACAGATTTAATCCGATCAATTTCAACTAAGGCTGCATTTTCGGTTATCTCGATTATAACCGATAACCGAAATGTCGGTTATCGGTTAACCGCGAAGCCAGACACGCCTACCGCCAACCGCCCGATGAATTATATTGGTTATCCGACAACCGATCGGTCAGCTACCGGTTAGTTGCTTGGTTAACCACGGTAACCGCAACAGCACAATTGAGGTGAGGTCGCGGCGGCGGAGCGAAGGGGATGACTGGCAGCGACTTCGCGTTGGCGGAGCAAGGGGTTGGTTCGTCGTCGTCGCGACAGTCGGGGAGGGAGATGGTTGATGGAGGGGAAAGGAATGGCGACGACGGAGCTCTCAACGGCAGGGTTGGCGGCTGCTGGCTGGCGTAGAGGGCGGAAATAGAATTCAGGAGTGACATGTGTCGGGGAATCGTGAAGACGGAGGTCGATCAAGTGAAATATTGAGTACATGAGGTTGTCTCCTTCGCGGACTAGGCATATGACGACGTCCCAGGAAGCGGCTGAGTGGCGGAGGTAGCGGTGGGCGAACTCCGAGCCATCGATTACTGACTGGCGGTGCTTGCAGACGGAGCGGAACTTGAGGAGCGAGCGGATAGGAAGGCGGTAGAGGATGATTCCGGTGACGATCTCATCGGGAAGCCAAACAACAGCCATGGATGCAAGCTAAACAGAGACACAAATCGGGGAGAAAGGGTTTTTTCTGTAGCTGGGGGGGGGGGAACTGTAAAGAGGGTTCAGGATTGGGCGGGCGGGAGGGAGGTGAGGCTGCGATGCAAAGAAGAGAAGGTAAGGGGTCGATGTTCGATTAGGGTTTAGGGAATAGGAGGGCGGCGTCGTTTTACGAAATGAGGGGAGGGGGTTAGATGTGTCGGTTAGCCGGTTAACCGGCGGTTATCACCGTCGGTTAGCCGGTTAATCGGCATAGCTAACCCCGCTACCGAACCCCATCCGCAGACACATTTTTTGGTTAGTTGGTTAACCGGTAACAACCGGTTATCGGTCTAACCGTCGATTAACCGGCAACCGATAACTGAACGTTCAGTCCTAATTTCAGCTTGGAGAGTTTTGATATTACGGAGGGAATTGGTATTGCCTACACTACTCCAATCATATAAAAGATGGAGAAGCCTTTTCAGCCTCTCCCACAGTCTAAACGTAGGAGTGCCATGAGTCGGTTCCTCCCAGACGTATTTTATCATAGCCCTGACCTCTGGATTGTCAACCCAACGAGCATCGAACCGGAAAAGAGGGCGTCTGTTTCGGACATAGGGTTTATCTGACAGGAGGAGAGTCCGATGATCAGAGCTCTGGTCCGTAAAATGTTTCACCAGAGTGTCAGGGAACTGATCCAACTTTGTTGGGAGCAAAGAGCCCTATCCAACCTTTCAAGACACACGCAGCGCCCATACGTTTATTTGTCCAAGTGAATTGATCACCATGGAATCCCGGATCATGGAGACCACAATCCTGGATAAAATCACGTAAAGTAATAGACTAAGACGCATTCCAGGGGTTTCCTCCATCCTTCTCACTCTCATGAAGAGTAGTGTTAAAGTCCCCAATAATCACAAAAGGTAATTGTAAATTGGAACATATGTCCTGAATATGAGCTAGTTGGGTAGCTCTTATTGAGGTAGTACAACTAATGTAAACAAACACCACAAAGTAGAAAAATTCCGCTTCATTAATTTGCGCACAAATACAGAAGTTGGAATGGGAAAAAACCGAGGCATTAACCTCGGGGGCCCAAGCAAGAACAAGACCACCAGACGAACTGACAGCATCAACAAAAAAAACAATGGGAAATATCAAAACCTAATCCCCTCATACAACGGGAAACTACTCTTCGGCGCGATCTTGTTTCAGAAGAGAAAACAAGGTCCGGTTTATTAGAATGCACTAAACAAACAGCAGTTTGGAACGTGAGCGAAGGCCCAATTCCACTCATGATCCAAACTAGAAGCCTCATTTATCCGACTGGGCCATTTTCGGCTGGCTTTCTCCACCTTTTCATAATCATCTTCCACAAAATGTTTTTTTTTATTGGAGTAGGGTCCTCCCCAACTCCCCTTCCAACTCATCAAATGAGCGCTTATGACATGCCAGGGGTTGGTTGCTGAAGATTCAATCCATATTCATCTATCGTGGTAGCTTCCAACTTCTCCAACCCATGATCCTCTCCATCACTTCCCCCAGCCGCAACACTCATTTGCTTTATGTAGCGAGCTTTCTCGTCATCATTAATCATTACCCTCGATTCAAACGCGGCGACAACCTGCTGGACGCGTCCACTAATGGAGCGATGGTTGCCCATTTCTCTTACAAGGGCTTGACTTTTAATCTCAAAGCAATTAGCCTCCTCCTCCGACAAGGATGCGGCCGAATCAACCATAGCACTGGGGGGGGGGGGGGGGGGGGGGGGGGGGGGGGAATTTGCCGTAGTACCCTCAACATTATGATGAGGAGGGAAACTTGACTTAATTGGCAAGCTATTCTTCCCTTCCCCGATCGCCGGTACCAGCACCTGTGAGGTCCGAGGCTAAGGCTTCTTCCCCGCACCAACCAGCCCTGACGCTTCGTCCCATTGCCAGCCCATCGCATTTCTACATGTCGAGGAGATGGAGGGCAGGTGACCTTCCTCGCTGCAGTTGTACCTTCAGTCTTCATAGGCTTCTCAGGTGCTTTGACAAGCCTCTTCCTTCCTCCCTTCACCACTCTTATCCCATGCTGCTTTGGCGAAGCAATAATGGGCCTCGCCGTAGACTCATCCTCCGAATAAGAGAGAATGAGTCGATGCCTATGGGGCTTCATCTCACAAGCTGCGGGAGGCATAACCTCATCGGCTGTCTGGGCTTCCTCCGGGTCCGCCCTAACCTGGTTTCGTCCCAACGTATCTAGCCGAGCCATGGGTGCAGTAGAAGCAGCCAATAATTGCTCTCTGTCTTCACCGATTCCAGCTTTGTGTCTAGAGGCACGGGTGGGGTGATTACGCCCAATAGCAGGGTAATTCCTCTTGGGGGTACGGTTGTGAGTTCCCCGTGATAGATTAATCTTAGGAGACTTCGAAACATGGAACAGGCGAGGGCTGCACGCAGGTCGGTTGCCGCCGGTAGGGAGGTATTGTAACACCCGCTATTTTCTAAACTTATTAACTACCCTTACATTATGATTAATTATTTAAATTTGTGTCTCCACTGTTAAGCTAATGGCTAGTTATACCTACCAATGGTAGTTGAAAAATCTCGGGACTAGTTTATGTAACCGAGATTACAAATAATAGGTAAACCATCATGATCGACAGCGATCTGAATAATGAATATACTGCTATTTTACCGTCTTCCCAACCCATACCAACCTATTATGTGAGTTAGATTAAGAACAGAGGTTATAGCTAGTAAATGGTCAAATCCATTATAATAAGAACCAAATGGGTTCCACTGATGCTAGGGGAGTGTGGTAAATTAATGGCTACTCCCATTTACTCCTACTGACCAGCAAATGCTCTATTCCCAAACTAAAATAGAGTAGCAACACGTATTCACCCACCCCAGCAGGCAATTAAATGAATTAAGAAGGGGAGGGATGACCTTAGAAGGGGTAGAGGAGTCGGCAACCCTTATCCCATTCGCTTTCTCTGAGTGTTAAAAGAGGGAGGGCAACGACTCCCTTACCACCTCTTTCAAACCCCATCATCTTACTCCATTTTTGAGACCGTATCAACTATATACGGGAGTGCATAGGCGGAGGCAGGGTGTTTGTCCCTGTCCCGGGACAGGGGTAACTTTTGGGAGGGAAAAAAATAATCCCACATATATTTGTACAGATCGAACTAAACACTTACAAGTAACATAAGGATATTTTAACATTACAACATAACTCATTGTTTGTTCATTAATTCACAAAAAATAATTAAATTATTGGTTTCATTCGTGACACTATCATTTCACAACAGTTTGTTAGGTATTATATATCACGATATTATGATGTAAATAATGAATGTATTTTACATTTCTTTCATAATATGAAAACTCGTCCTGGTTATTTATGACACAATAATTATATTAGTCAGTTTTTTGTTTCTCTGTGAATGAATTATTTAGATATTATTAATTTAATTATGTTTATAAAATATTATATATACTCTAAATAAAGGACATGGATAGTTTGAAATCCTGCCTCCGCCACTGTGAGAGAGTGCAAAGCTGTTGGGTAATTGCAGCGGGTATTAATTGCACAAGGTAGGGCAGTTTTCCCCATGGTACTTTTGATTAGTATTGTGAGGGTCTGAGGGAAAGGGAATAGCGTTCTCGGTAGTTACAGAGTAGCATTGGTTGAATAATTGTGTGTAGATTATATAGCTATGTAAAGTAAATAAACATATATCTGGGTTCCTGTGCATGGTTGTTGGATTTGGATATTTATATGTATACTAGGATTCAGCCCGCGCTCCGCCGCGGGATACTAATTCTGTTATAATTTCAATGTGATTTAATATAATCTATAACCATAATCGTTTATGTCCTAAATATAGACATAAATGTTGTCATAAACATAAAAACTGGGGTCATTATGCAAAAGATTGACTGGGTTTGCAGAATAAACATAAATGTAGTCAGGAGTGTGTCCAAGTTTTCCACGATATATCTACTAAATTAATAAAAGTTCCATGACGGAGACTGAAGATTTCAAGCTTGGCAGGACAAAATGTTTTCAGAAATTTCGTGCCTTTGTGGTTTGCACGATATCAAAATGGCAAGCTTCGAAGGACATCGTCATTTCTCGAATGCTGATCGGTCCCACAGGGTGAGCACTGTCGCTTCTGGTTGTATGTCTGAATCACTGTCTCCCACTTTTCTCCATGCGACATTCAATTCCGCCGCAAATTTTTTGTTACAGTTCTTTGCGATCAATTCTATGATTTGGTCCTTCTTTAGAAACAGATAATCTGACGGTGACTTACGAATAAGTGACAGAGCTGCTTCATGCTCAAACACCACATCTATTTCAGATCCTCCTTGGCGACATCTCCCTTCCAGTTTGTATGTCAGTCTTGCAATAAAGATCTTTTTGTTAGGTTTATATAAAAAGTATTATTATCGCATGTGTAAACATGGGAGGATGGTCAAAAGCTTACCCTGTGTTCTCTTCACGAATTTTGCAGATGCTTTTTCTGTATATAAAACTTGGAATGTTAAACAATGTCATGTAAGTGACATGTTGCATAAAATGTCAGATGTATTATACAGGTAAACAGATGAAAATATACAGCTGATGTCAATGCTGGTGTTTGTTCATATACCTCTGTGAAATCTGACAGGTCCTCCATCCTTTCTTTGATCTCTCTCAGCGATTTCTTTGGCAGTTGATTGCTCAGCAGGTGGCCAGTTTTTTTGCAAGTAGCATCATCGAAGAAGTAAACTGGTTTGCGACATGCAAGAAAGCTACATGTTGAAAAGAAATGTGTAAGTATCACTAACTCGATAGTGGTTGAACCAATAAGTTATCTTGGGCAAACCCATATACAGCAACTCACATGTTCATGATATCCTTGCAGTTGTCCTGATAAGAATGAATGATAAGCTTACTCGCAATTGTGGATCGAAATTCGTGCTGATATTTACTGCCATGTCTAGGAGTTACTCTACTAACTGATTTGATTGTCACAATCAATGGTAACTTTAACTCCATTGCTGGAGCATGCTTTTTAAAATCATCAATGTCATGCCCACTGTATTCAACATAAGCCTTTGCCCCACTGATTGCAAAGCAATGCGTTAACTATACATTCTTACAAAGCAAAAAAAAGTGTACTGTCTTAAGAGCATACCAGACATCTTGTATGACCAGGTCGAATTTCTGAATCCTTCCTTTAATTCTTTCTGGATGAGTTAGTCTTCTAACACATCCTGTAACATCTACAGATTTAATGTTTGTTATGCTTTGTTTAATGGTGTTCTTAATCATGGATAGAGAGACATATATTTACCTGAATGGCAGACAAAGTCTTCTGATGTTTGAGGAACAATGGAAAAATCGGCTGCTGTGTATGATCCTACTGGAAATTGCTGGTGGTCCATATCCTTCTTCAATGTGCCTTCTAATTTGATCCGAAGTGAGGAGCAGACGGAACTCTCGATGGACAATGCGTTGCACTGACCTTGCTGGACCTGCTACAATATCTTGTAGTTCATGCAGGCAGCCAACCTTGATTTTCTTAAAAACCTCAGCTGCATCTTCTTCTTCAACCTGAGCTTCGATCAACGTGTTCTGTAAAGTCAATGGTAGATAGATATGTTGTCAAGAGTTTTTGATCTTTTAGTATTTGCCAGTAGGTTAATTGATGTTTAGGGTTTGTATATTGGTAAGTTCTTTTGTCTTAACACTGAATCAAATGCTCTGACGAATATTTATGAATATGGTTGGGGTATCTGGAGCCAAACCTTTTTGTCAAGCCAGAGCATGTGATGTGTCCTTTTCTTCCATGTGGATAAAGGCACTTCTCGGAACTCAGACCATGTAACGACATGTCTAGCTATAACGGTTCGATTGTTTGTTCCCAAACGCAGTCCCCAAAAGCACATGCTTGCATCAATGGAATCTGCAACACGAATAAAGAAGAATCGATAAATAATAAATGGAAAAAACTCACATAGGAATCGAGATGCTTTTGTAGGATTTCTTTCCAGATTCAATGTATTTACCTTTCAGTTCGTTCGGGACCACACAATCGCGATCTGTAGTTTGATGCTTATTCCTCAAAGATTCCATTTTGTGTGGGTCCATGGAAGCTCACGTATCAGTTGTACTATACAACTGTAAATCTTTTGGGTAGAAGAAAGCTTCTAGTTCTTCGAGACCCTGGTTTCCCGTGTTTCTTGTCTCTTGACTGCGCGGCCGATTCTAGAAGGCATAAAAAACAATCGGTAGTTTATGTAAGCTAGGGTTAACTTAGGGTAAGTCCTTTTTGGATCTATTGTTTGGGCCTTGACATCGTGTTTGGGCTCTGTTTGATATGCAATGGGGTCTAACTGTTGAATCATGCCTTTTTACAAAAAAGGCTACAATACGCTCCTGCGCTGATTGTTCTGTCAACTTGTATCAGTTGGGCTCATCGAATTTTCTTTCTAACTTCTCTCTGGAAAGTCCGAACCAATGTTAACTGATAAAAACTCATGACTTCTTTCTAGCTTTGAGTTTCGAAATAAAAAACACAAAATGTGTCTCTTTTTAAGAACAACGCAAGAACTGGAAGAACAAATTTTTCCAGGCGTAAAATTCAAAAAGTTGGGAGAGTTCATAATAACCACTTCGACCTTCTTTGATGCTTGCAGAATTAAGCAGGTGCAATATCTGTGAAGGCTTCTGAATATACAATGTTTCTTGTGTAATTGGTTGGAATATCCTCCTCATTTTCAATCAAGAATCTCAAACCACCTGCAGATCTTACTCTTGATGCTGCCACATAAAGCTGTCCATGACTGAATACTGGTTTAGGCAAATAGACTCCAACCTTGTCCAACGTTTGGCCTTGGCTCTTATTTATTGTCATCCCATAACATAAACGTACTGGGAATTGCCTCCTCTTCAGTATAAAGGGCCAGCGTTTGTCTTCTACGTTGAGTACTATTTGTGGTATAACAACCTCTTTTGTGTCAAAAGATCCTCCCATGATGTTTCCTACAATGATATTTTCCCCCAATTTCGTAATCAATATCCTCGTACCGTTGCATAGGCCGTTTGGTGGGCTCAAATTTCTCAGCAACATGATTGGAGTGTGAACCTTAAGTCTTATTTCATGATCTGGAACACCATTGAACTGAAGAGCATTCAAAAATTCTGTTGGGTAAGTTTCAACGAATAGCTGAGGTACCTCTGTATCAAGTTGCATAGAGTCTGAACTATAGTAGCAACGGCAATGTCCAGGAATTTTTTGCAACATGAAGTCATTCACTTCAGTCACAACTGCATTAGTAGGAGTAACGATCGCCCTTCCACTTAGGTAATCTGTGCTCATGTGTTGTTCCTCAAATGCGTCATATATATCATTTGTGATTGACTCGATTGGATTTTTTCCAGCATATATCAAAAGTATTTCTGGTATCTCAATCCAATCTGAAGGTGTGTTTGCCATAAAAGATTTTTTTGGCAGCCTTCCATCTCCCAGCGCCAGAATCCACTCACCAAAGTTCATTCCACAGCCGACCAGGTTTCTATTATCTTGTGAATCATTAAGCCTCATGTTCCTTGACAGTTTGAGCACCTGAAAAAAGGGCCACAACGATGACCTCGTGATAGATCCATCAACTGTTTGTTCCTTTCCTGAATCTGAAATTACTGGCAGAGTCTGTCTAAAATCACCACCAAAGACTACTGTTTTTCCTCCAAACAACTTGTGTTTTGGACCTGATAGTGGTATGTCCATCAAATCACAAAATGTTCTGCTTATAGCCTCAAATGCATTTCGATGTGTCATCGGTGCTTCGTCCCAAATAATCAATGAAGCTGCACGTATTAGCTCAGCTAAATGAGTACCTTTCTTTATGGAACATGTAGATGTATGGTCTATATGAAGGGGAATCTTGAACCTTGAATGAGCAGTTGTGCCGTTTGATAGCAGTGTGGCTGCTATTCCAGATGAGGCAACAACTATAGCAATTATGGAGAGACTTTTTAATTTTCCAATGATTGCATTATAGAGAAAAGTCTTGCCTGTTCCTCCATGGCCATATAGGAAAAATGAACTGCCAAGGTTGTTGTTGATAGAGAGAATAATGAGTGTGAAAGCCTCTAGCTGTTATGTGTTCAGTTTGCTAACCATAGTATTTGCCAGTAACCTTTGTTGATCATCAAAGTTAAGATGCTCATTAATCAGGGGATTTGATCCATCGTCAGGTTCTGAATCTGTCGGTCTTGGGAGATGTAATTGCTGAAGTGAAGAACCGTAAGTCCTCAGTAAAGTTTCCAGTTGATGTAACACCCAATTCTTAAGTCTCTCATCTGAAGGCTGGAAAGTCTTTGAGTGTAGCTGTTTACGAAGAGAATAAACATGATCTTCACTCATTAACCTCCATGAAGATTCAAATAGAGCATTAGGATCAGGTATTTCGCAGAACATCAGCATTGAAACAAATAGTCCGTATTATGTGTGGCATACTTGATGCTGCAATTTCTTGTAATACTTGAATCCATTCTGAAGAGTCCGACAAAAGCCCCAACTTTTGGCATGCTCTTTCTTAAGTACTACAAACCTCCCCTTGTATTGTTCTTAAATTGAGGAAGCTTGTTGCTCCTCTTACTTTGGTCAATAGCAGCCTAAGAAAGAATATATCATCACTTCCTGGAGGAACATATGCTATCCTTCCTATTGCGAAACCTCTTTTCCTTGGAGTCCATTCACTGTATTCTTCATTCCATGTAAAGGAATTTAGTATTTGAGCATATGTAAACTTTCTTGCATTGCAATCATGTCTGTTAAGTTCAAACCATGAAGTAAGATGAGTTTTCCCTGCCCTTGGATTTTGCAAAACATTTTGGATATTTGACCTTCTCTTGTATGAAACATTCTGTTGTCCATCCAGGTGTACACCAAGTCGAACCACATTAGGCTCTCTGTGGTGTATAGAATACTCGTTGATTCTCCATATAGCTTCGTAGGAGGACAGCGACATGCAATCAATGAATTCTTGTATCTCGTCTTTTGTTTTTTTCGTTATATTTGATGGTACCTGAACTGAGCTTGTCGAGTCTTCTGCAACAATGAGAGATCTATCTGGTCCTTTAGTAATGTACTTAAATAAGTACTTCACTAATCCTCCCTTGTGACATATCTCCACATTAATATGGGCTTGAGCTCTAACCAATAAGTTCCGATTGTATGGAACGACATATCTATTATCCAGCATTGCCTTTCCTTTTTGAACTTGAATGCCTGAATTTCTTCGTCTGTACACGACATTGCCAAACTTGTCGAACGAAGTTTCTGAACAGAATTCTTTCGGAAAATACTTCGAACATTTACCATCTTTCATACATGGTGCAGTGGGGTTGTTAACTCCACAAGGTCCATGAATCATGAACTTAACCACTGCAGCATACCCTTCTGGATCTAGATTGGGGTCTGGTATTTCTGCAGAAATCATCTCATCAATGTCAGATGTTGACTTTAGTTTATCCTCTTTGGCCAACCATATAAGCATATGGACATGTGGGAGGCCCCTCTTCTGAAACTCAACTGTGTAGATTACTGCGAAAAAACAGTCCATCATTTGAACTTGATAGCTCATTCAAATAATAAAAGAAATTTTATACAATGAAAGGTTATCTACAGCCAACTCACTGCTATCGTTTTTTCGAAATATGATTCTCGTTTAAACTGGTCAATTAATATGGCAAGCTTCATGTGAAACACACGGCAGACCACCATAGGCTTCAACTCGCTGTTTGGTCCAACCATATCTGCAAAAGCGTCAACAATTTCTTCCCAAAGAGCATTGCAGGTAAATGTAACAAATAAATCTGGGTTACCATAATGTTGACAGGTTGCCATAGCATCATGATAAAGTTGCTGCATATATCTTGGTCCTCCTGTATAAGATGATGGCATTATAATTCTTCCAAGCTTTTCTCCATCCATGTCTCCCTTTGCAAATGCATCCTGTAATCCTTGATAAACTTCTGCTCTTAAATCTTTTTGATGAGTTCTAAGAAATGCCAGTCGATTGAGTTCAATTGTTGAAAATGCATCAACACAGTAATGTTGCAATGCCTTGCCACTTTGAACCAGTGTATGCCCCTCATTCAATGGATACTGAAGTCTAAAAGCATAATACTCTTTTTGAGTAACAAATTTTCTGCGCATTGATGCTGGACAAAAGGAGGCATTATAAGATATTTGAGGATGAAACCCATCTTCTCCGTAAGGGAATAGCAATGGAAAGTGAAGAGCCTCGAATTTTGGGTTGAGGCTTGTTATACGTTTCAGCCCTTCTCCTCGATGGTCAACAATGATATCTCTATCCTCCCTATCTGCAACAAAATCACCAGGTATTAAGGCTGCAATATCAGAGCTAGTTGGCAAGTCATATTGTCGATTCCTACTTTTGATCCCAAAGATTCTGAGTCGGAGATTTGGTGTGGAAGAAAGCTGGATATCTTGTCGAATGCGCCTAAATGTTCTGACCAACTCGTTGTTTTCATCAAGCATTCGAAGCAAACTTGCAAGTAACTCAGGCAGCAAGACTTCCTCTCGAGATGCGAAGTTTGCAAGTCTATTGTTAACCTCATTTTCAAGTTCAAATATATATAGCTTAGCAAACTTTGGCCTATTTCCATCAACTGGAAGTAAGGATCCAATCCTATGTTAATTCTCACCACAAATAACCATCGAATATGGTCCTCTTGTTGTCAAAGAGCGTGGATCCAGTTTGGCTCCAAAAGATGTGAAACACAAAGAACCATTGTAGGGTCTAATGTTGTCTCTAAAATGTTTTGACATTGCACCTCCATTAAGATCCAACAGCTGAGAAAGCAATGGAGGTGGTGGCTTTAATAGGGGAATGCAAACTCTTCCTTTCTGACAACAAAGACTATATACAGGATTTAAGGATTTCCTGTGTCGATCCAATCGTTCAGCATACCCAAAAAAAGCACCACAGAACTGACAGACACAGTCAGGTTTTCCAACGCTCAGCCTATCATTGTGCAATGGCTTCCTTGCAATTGGGACATCAGGTGATGCTTTCTTTGCTTTTTGACATTGACGATCATTTGTAGCTGAACTGCAAGATGCCTCATTATCACCCATTTCTGTATAAGGATCTGGAGGAACGAACTCACTGTTGTGAGCATTTGTCGACTTTGAAATTTCCCCTGAGAGAATGAACGGCAGGCTTCTCAATCTCTTGTTTACTCTGGTGTTATCCACGTTCATATCTGTAAAGCTGTTAGTTGGATTCCTGGAAGATTCGATTGTGAAAGAAGTGTCACCTCTCTTTCGCCTCAGCAGGTTGGAAGGCGCTCTCTTCTTTCTAGGTGTCATTCTGATTACATGAAGTAAATGTTTGATATCCAGTCAGACTTAAATGAGCAACAAACAAAAGTTCAATAACTGCAAACTTCAGTATTCTGTCTTGGTCAGATAGACAAAGAAGAGGATCCAAATCATTTAATGAGGTTCCATTAATGTGTAACTGAGGAATAACGAATACAGACATGCTTAACTGTATCTGATGAGGGGGTCTATATCACCAATGATGTGTGTCTCTGGCGTGTAGCTCCAAACAGCTGATCAGCAGGTATTACCTTGCTGTATACTCCAGCTCGCTGATACTCTACTGAAGGGAAAAAGTCGACACAAACAGAACTACTTGCTGAACACAGGAGCAAAAACCAGAGGGCAAAGAGAAAGTTGAAGATCCATTGATGAAATCTCTTTGATTTCTGATGTATTCCTTAATAAGATATTATACAATTAATATATAATTTTATATTAGGTGTCTAATCTCTATCCAAGTAGTCATTGTGACTGTTGGTTCTGTAACCAAGGGTAAACAATGATGGCTTTTGCATTTAATGCTTTAGATTTTGTGCACATGATTAACCTAAATTATTTAAATCTTGCAACCCAAAAGATTCATTTTAATATTAGCATGTCTGCTATCTATTACTAATTTCGCCTGTTCTTATCATATTTTTCTTGTGGACAATGCTTACTCTTTCCCACCACATGATGTAAAGAACATTTTTGTTATATTTGCATATACATACAATTAAGACATAAATGTAAAACACAGGCATCTTAGATAAAAACTATATTCCTTGATAATGCATAAAAACTGTTGAGCATCCACATTCCACAAAAGAGGGACCAAAAGAGCAGAGTTTTGCCCACACTGGGGTCACAACATTTCAGGTGTCCAAACTGACCACCCTAATCTTGCACAAAGAATTACATGCACTTAAAATTTACACCACATAAACAGATACCCGAAGCAACATTAGTTTTGTTTAGTAACCAACAACATAATTTCCACAGAGTTTCCAGAAATGGCCAGGTAAGGCAAGAACAAAGTCTACAAACAGGTTCCTAAGAAGTTGACAAAAGAGCTGCAAACCCTCCAACCAGCACAACTTCAAACGATCAACAACATAATCATCCTGCCCACCATCAAAAGGACTGTCTCCTTGCAGCAAATCCAGCATCCACAAAAGGAAACCACCTTTCTTGCACCTAGCATAACTTAGATCCAGTACATAACATAACCAATCAACATTCAAAACTAATAAATAACACACGAAGGGATCATACTCGAATTTATACCCTAAGATTCATACAGGCGACGCTTAGCAGCAGAAGGCTTCCCAGGTGCCTGGTGTGAAACTTGGTCAGCAAGCGAAAAAGGGGACGAACTCTCTGTTTGCTCATCATCCTGCCTCACATTAGGAGATCCAGTTCCAGAAGATTCCAGCTTCTCAATCTTCACCTTAGCCAGAGGTGATATCAAGCTGCATTGTCAAAGACCAAATCAATAAATTCCGACTGCACACTAACCATGACACGATAAGTTTAAAAGTAAAAAACTCACAGACTCCTTGAAGACAAAGGCGAAACCGTCGAAGATGACTTGCTGATTTTACTCTGAGTATCAGAACTCAGCCCAGCAATGGATGACAATCCATGTACCCCCTGGCTAGTAGAACTCATCACATCCATACCATCACTCCGAGTTCCTGGAGTCCCCACTGCACCTTTCACAGCACCAACTGATTGGATATCAGAGACCTTCAAAGGATCTGCAATGGTCAAAGGAGCTGCCACAACAGTTGACCCTGGACCTGCTCCTTTTCCTTTCACATCAGCAACAGAAAGCAAAGGTGCAATAGATGAAACAGGAGGCAGTAAATTTGGCGAAATCACGTCGGACACAACAGCATTCTCTTTGATGACCAAAGGAACTTGAGATGAACTGTAAGAGCCAAATGATCACATAAGTATTTACCATGCCACAACAGCAACAAAGCACAGGTTAATGCATCAATACCAAATCAAGTAAAACAGTCCAAATGTGTTACCTAAGAGGCAACCCTGCAACCTGGCCAACCTGGAATGTTGGATTCGTGCCTCCAGCCGACACAGAGTCAACAACCTTTTCCTTTCCTTTGGATGAGCTAGATTTGTAACAGCAAAGGTCAATAATTAGACTAACCAAAGAAAAACCCATACCCAAACCCCCGTAATTAACCAACACAAACATAACAATAGAGCAAACAACCCTCACCTAGATGGTATGACAGCAGAAGTTGAAGCTGCGAAAGGTACACCTGGAGCAGGCAGCAGCAACATTCCTTCCTGACCAGAACAGGACTGACTTAGGGTTTGGGATGAAGAAACACTGCCTGTGACATCTGGAACTCCTGTAAGACCAAGCACTGGGCCCTGAACATCACGGGGCATAACTCAGAAAACCCGGAATTCACCCGTAGATACTCCACTTGACCCAACCATCGGAAGTTTGACCTCAAACCTGACAAACTGGCCGAGCAAAGCCTCAAGTTCAGGCGGCAGCTGGCTAGACCTGTGAGGATATCTCTGGGAAAGCAGTTGGGCAGATGTGAGCACCAAATTGTTCCCACACGGGCAGAAAATAATGAAAGGGGCCTCGTCAGTGGCATCACGTAGGGTCAATTGGATCTTGTAGCTAGAAACGACATAGTAAAAAGCAGAGACAATTCCATCAGGACAGGCATAGGAGTGCAAACTCAAAAAATTTGGCAAATTCTCTAGGACCTGACAGGCACACAGAGAAATAAACAAAAACAAAAACTAATGATCAGACAAAACACACACCCAATTGTCACTTGCTGCTCAGTGATCTCCCAATGATCAGGACACCAGTAGTTACCATTTCGCCACGTAGAACACTTCTTTCTGCACATGTTGCATGACATGTAATACCACGGGCTCCGGGACTCAACCGATCGGATTATACCACCGCAACGATGCTTTTCATCCTGAATATAAACATTGATAATCCCAAAAAGCAAAAAAAAACATAAATAAATGGACAACCCTAGGACCAGTCTAAAATCAAGAACTACATCGGAATGCAACTCACGACAGAAGCACCGCTATGGTGCAAATCAAGAAGCTCAGCTATGGTCCTGGTTCTCCGCTCAGCATCAGCAACAGCGTCCCCCGGGGTTGCAAACTTGACCGGTAAATCAGCAACAGGAACTCTGGATCCACCAAAACTGCATAGATGGACACAAAAAAGTCAAGCAAACCAAACACCACAAAGCAAATCCAGAACAACAAAATCACAGTTTAACAATAAAGAACCCACAAAGCAGCGAGGCTGTAAGCTTCTGGTATCCTCAGGCTAACAACTATACGGGTTCCAGAGGAGCTCGAACAGGAATATTCACCGGCTGTACAACAAAAACAAAATCAGTTCACAATTTATGATCAAGCAGAATAGAAAAGAGGTAAAATACACACCTATCAAACGACCAACCATGAGCCCCCCAACTCCAATGATCACTAGCTCAATGGAGTCCGCCTGAATCAAAGCAGGTCGATCAAGGACTGCAGTCAGTTCATTCCAAAGCGTGATTGCAACCCTCTGGCCCCTGATAGTAAAACAAAGGATCAGATCTTACGTGAAGGTGACGAAACAGTATTCCCCAGTGCAAAAATAAAATCACAGAAAGACCTACTGTGCATTCTCAAGGACCAAAACTTGTTTTGGAGTCGAGCCGTGATTAGTAACCTGATGATCAATCCCGCTAATAGAATGAAGACGGCCGACAACATCTGATCGAAAAAAAAAGAGCAGTAAGAAGACATAAAACCCAATCCAATTCAGTCAAGAAAACGCAATAATCACCTGCAAGGATACGATTGTCCCCTGAACGGTTAGACCGCTCACTATAAGGAACAACCTCAAAGGAATCAGTTGGAAATTCAGCTGCAGGCAGAGAACAGGCCTGGAAAATAGTTGTTGCTGACAACTCTCTTATCAGATCAAATGAGCAAGCACGATAGAGATTCCTTGCGGCACTGAGACCGAAAGACCTAAGAACGTAGATAACTCCCACGCGCAACACACGCTCAAATTCAGACCCAATAGAGACATCAGTCAGGCTCTGAATGAGCATACCCTAAATAAAAACAAAGAAAGGTAGTCAAGAAAGAGCAAAGAAGTAAAAAAAATGAGTAAAAAAACAGAAAGCACTGTAATCACAAAGAATCAGCGTAAGAGAATCACCGTCTGATCCACCCAGAGGCAACAGTGATTAAACACCCTTGTCCCAGAAGGATTCTTGGCAAACCACATATGGAGCAGACGAAGCCTCAGAGTCACCTCTCTGGTACTTCCTTTGATATTGCAGAGCAGAGTAGCATCCATGGTGAGGAAAAAGGCGAGAAAACAACGACTGAACCACAGAGAACAAAGAGGGGAGAAGAAAAAGAGGGAAATGCGTTCCGAGAATGAGTCCTCTTGTGCAAAAAGAATGAGAAATACCCTTCTCCACCTGAGCGCATGCATCGAGGCACTGAATGACGTGTACAGAGCTGGAAGCAGTAAACTGTTTGACACCCTCCCGCCCTCAGGTGAATAACCGGTATCAATCAGTTGTCCACCATCCCCAAAGCACCTCCAACCCCAGCCAATCAGCCGCCAAGTTTCTCCAACACAGTCCTGCGAACAACAGCCCAACACGACCCTCTAGGAATCCCTAACAGAGCATATCTGAAGGCCCCGTCCCACGTGCCCGGGCAGGGGCAAAGTCACATACCGATCTCTGATGACCAACGCGCGTCCGGGCCACCGAACGACCGCAACTAAGGCCAACCAGAAGCCAACGACCAGTCCCACACCGACCGAGACCCTAGAGCCCGCCAAATCCCACGCCAGATCCCAATGAAGCCTCACCCAACTCCAGCCCACAGGCCAGCCCACGCTAGGTTGAAACAGTAATTCTTAGTTACGTTGTGCAGTAAAAGGTGTCTGCGTGTACAGTACATGGGCATGCGGCGGGTTTCTTTCTTTCAATAATACATACATGCAAGCAAGCAGTGAGGGGAACCGAAAGTGGAAGGGAGACCTCGGACCCCGGTTAAATTGTGATTAGTTTTGACACTTCAATAAATTAAGGGGTGTATTAGAAGGGGTGCATATGTGTGAATTAGATTTTGGGCAGGGTATCACTTGTGCAGAATTTGTATTGAACCGTCAATTTGAATTGAGTTCCGAGCCCAAACCACTTATCCAAATGTTCTGAATTTTGAATATGTTTTAGCTCTTTGAATCTAGTTCAAATAGGAAAAAGAATGACTCAATTTGGTTACGAATTGAGGAAGAAATGACCAAAATAGTGAACTGGGGTATGTTACAGCCTAGTCACAGCCGGTAATTAGGGCATGGCGGTTCTCGGCACAAAATGTGCAATTAGGTCATTGGCACGTCATGGTCTTGACCTGACTGTGACTGCACATATTATACCATTCCATCCTATAACATCCCGATTTGCATGCATTCGAATCGGCTATCACTCGTACTGATTCCCTACCTGTTCTAAGTTATTAAATATGGTAGTGTTGACTTTATAAAGGTAAGGAGCAAGCCGGGGAAACCTCAAAAGGCAAAGGGCTTGCAGATTAGCAACCAAATTGTGAGTAAATCCTAACCCATTAATCATATGGATACAAATATGGTATTCGGGTCATGAAGCGGCCCGTTATTAAACATGAAATGTGAAATTTATAATTGGCTATGATTATGTGTGTGAATAAAATTACATGATATGAATGAGGAATAAATGTAATGTGTGCATGATTATGTGATGATGTGTGTGTGAATAAAATTATATGTTATGAATGAGGAATAAATGTGATGTGTGCATGATTATGTGACGATATATGTGTGATAGATAAATGATGATTATGAACGAAAATCGTGATGTATGTGTGATATGGAAAGGGCCTGGAAGGCAATGTTACAGTATTGGAAAGCCTATGAGGCGATGAGGGGAGTATAGCCAGAATGGTTATGTAATGATACTGGGATAGTCTAACTGGTTATCGTGTCATATCGGAAAGCCTATAAGGCGAAAATGTGATGATGGGAAGTTTAAAAGGCGATGATATGCTTATACGACATGCTGAATGTGATTGTGTGAATGGATATGTGTTACATGATTGATGATACTACTTGATTGACGAACTAAAGAACTGTATGAGCACCTAAATTGAATTAAAAGGGGCCCGTTATGTACTGTATGATATGAGGGTTCGACCGGCCCGACACTTGGTGCCAAAAGCTGCGAAGTGATATATGGTCCGACCGGCCCGGAACTTGATGCCAAAAGCTGCGAAGTGATAAGGGGTCCGACCGGCCCGGCACATGGTGCCAAAACTGCGAGATGATATAGGGTCCGACCAGCCCAACACTGGGTGCCAAAAGCTGCGAAATACCCGGGAAAGTACATGACGTGGCAACCTAAAGGCTAAAATACACGTAATTTGGCTAACACTATTATGTGTATGTGTATGTGTATGCATATGCGTATGCGTATATGTGTATGTGTATGTGTATGTGTACAATTGGTTACTAAATCGTGATGATTTCCTGTATGGGATGAAAGAACAAAGTGAATCTGAATGATGGGTCATTTTGAGGAAATGGAAACAAGAATGGGGTTTGACTTCACTAGATACTATGTTTGTGTCGATACTGTTAGTAGGTTAGCTTTTACTCATTGAGGTGACGTCTCACCCCCGTCAAACATTTTTCCCCAGATTAGAAGTTTTGAACTAGAAGTCGAGGAAACTCAGCAAGGCTCAGTTCGGCATCAATGAGGTGGGATGGTAGACTCGGACTCCGACATGACTTGTTTATAGTATTTTGAGAGAAGATGGTCTTCTCTACTGTCATGTGTTTTGAAGTTTTAAAATTTTATGTAAATTTTGGTTTGGTTTGTAAATGAAACGAATTGTAAAAGGTTTTACTCAGTATGATCTTGTGAATGTTTTAAAGTATGTATGGGTTTTACACGGATCGCATGTCCCACTCGGCCACAATGGTAGCAAAAGGTCGGGAGATATTCATACTTAAAATTGACCGAGAAGCTACCCGTGTCATCGCTTGTAGCCATGATTTGCGAACGGAGCGGCTTTGTGAGGTCCATCACCATCCGTACCTTCACAAAGTATTCACCAGTCTCATGACTAGCAAAAACACCAGCTTCCAGGACCTGACCCAGCGTGTTATCCGCCATTTTTCTCCCAAATTGAGGAGTACAACAGTCCTCCTTAACGTTCCAAAACTGAACGCGCAAAGGGACCATGGCCAAGTCATTAAAGATACTCTTCGAGATATTGGGAGTCCACGACCGTAGGTGTAGGATCTTGTTAGTGACCACCCATGGCGTTCTTTTGAGCACCCATGACTTAGACTCCTCCGAGGGAAAGGTGAATTCAAGCAGCCCATGTTTAGTCGTAGTCACCTTAAATCTCCCTTGCACCTGGCATGGCGAAAGAAAAGCTTCCCTGATTTCGTTCTTGTTCACCTGAGTATCTGTGAAAAAACCGTCCGATCAGAGAGTGGGTTGCACGATACTTGCTGGATTGAACCTCCTCCATTGAAAATTTCACCAGCTGGTCCGCATTTATACGGGCCATTTATTGATCCTGGACCGAAGGGATGGAAATACTCACGTTAGTATGCATGTCCACCTTAATTGGTGGCGGATCAAAACTCTCTGATTCCTTTTCGTGCATGACATGCATGGGAATCGACAATGGGAGATGGGGGCAATAGTTGAGGACGGGCCAAGGGGAACCAAAAAGCGAGAGAAGAAAATAATCACCTGAGTTAGAAGCTTGCTTAGGGTTGCTGAGCTCGGGATTCCTTCCTGCCTCACTTGCTGCTCTACGTTTCAAGTGTACAAGAGCATAAGAGTTTGAGGTGAAGGGAATAAATAGCCGAGAAGATACGTTCCCCAGTCCAAGTCTTCCAACTCGGTTTAGCTGTTGAGGATTGATACTGGGACTCGGATACTTTGTAGAAAAAATAAGATATTAAAAAAGACGGGATTCTCCATATCGCAGGATTGAGATGGCAATCCGTAACCGTCCCTCTTTCCCCTCATTGCAGAGACCTTGTACCCGGCAAATAGCTCGGGGTCTCGTCGGCGATCCATATCCGATCATCGAGAGGCATGGTCACCTCCCCAAATCGGGGTTTCTCGTTTCAATCAGAACAACCATTCACAGATGGAGATTTTTCATCCATCCTAGCTTGAGGGCGCAAGGGTTCGTCCGACGCCGCCACAGGGGGCAATACCAGAACCTCTCCCTCATCAGTATCCATCTCCATTGAAGACGGAAGCTTAAAGCGCCATATGAGCTTCTTCTTTAAACATTTCTGTTTGATAGAACCACCGAGCAAAGTCGGGTAGGGTTCCATATTTCGTTTACCACTCCTTATTTTGGAGTGGCATTCTTGATTGGTTAGGGCTCCATGACCATGCATCGCAGAGGGCCCACATTGTACGCGTGGATGCAAAGCAAAGGCGGACTTCCTTCCAGGCCCGCCGATTGGGAGCCCGGACGACGACGCTCTATTTTCATACGCCCATAGAGAATCCCAGTTACGCATTCGCCGTTCATTGCTAATGCACGTAGCCATAGCCGCCGTCACAAGGGCGAGCAGGATTTCCCGCACTTTCTCCAGAGGCCGAAGAGAGAAGCGAGAGCATCTCTCATTTTTTTATAACTTTTTTGACCACAACTTTGTGCTAAATTTAGTTCCTAGTAGGAATTTTATTGAACTAAAAAAACAGATACATTGCGTAAAAGAAGTCCAACATAAAGTGCAATGCCATGTGACTATATATATATATGATCAGTAACACAATCTTGTCTAATTTTTTCCTTGTTCACTACTCTCAAAATCCAATCAAGTGAAAATCAACTAGGTAAGTCAATATCCATCAACAACAACATTGTACTGTGTCAATTGACACTCTATCGACAATTGAAAGTTGCCCCAGATTCCTATCGGATGACCATTCTCATCAACACTCTCCATCTCGATCCCCACGACTTTACCTGAAATGGTGATGGATATGGTGTTCTTCTAGGCTAGCTTGTTATTGAAAGGATTGAAGGAGAAAGGATATTGTGAATGAATCAGATGATTTCTCATTATGATTCTGGAAACTAATATACACGATTGAGGGAGACAAACCAGGGGCACTAGCAACAGAAAGCTAGGCACGTCCCACGTCATTAGCAACAGAAAAAGTAGTGGAAAATAATAAAAGAATAATTACATAAAAGAGAAAAATTATTCTCCTCTAATACGCCCCCGCAAGACAGACGGTGTGTGAACCACGCCGATCTTGGATCGTAGCATGAGGAAGCGAGCGGCAGGAAGGGGCTTGGTGAGGACGTCCGCGAGCTGATTCGCCGTAGGAATGTAGCGTATGACAAGACGAGCAGACTGCACCAGCTGACGAACAAAATGGTAGTACAACGCGAGATGTTTCATGCGGGAGTGGAAAATAGGATTGGCACAGAAATAGGTAGCACCGAGATTATCGGAGTAGAGTGTAGGTGCAGCAGGGAGTTGGTGATGCAGCTCAGCAAGGAGATTTTGCACCCATTCGAGCTCCACACTGGCATTAGCAATGGCCCGGTACTCGGCTTCAGTGCTAGACCGAGCAACAGTACGTTGCTTTTGAGATCGCCAGGAGATAAGGGTGGAGCCCAAATAGAGAAGATACGTCGAAGTGGAAGTTCGGTCATCTAACTTACCAGCCCAGTCGGAGTCGGAAAATGCAGAGAGGTGGAGCGGGCGGGGGGAGCGAATGATGACGAGGCCATGATCAAGCGTGCCAACAACATAGCAAAGCAAACGTTTAAGACTCTGCCAATGGGAGGTGGTGGGGGCATGCATGAATTGAGAGAGCTTGTTGACGGAGAAGGCAATATCAGGATGCGTGCATACCAAGTATTGGAGGGCCCCAAGGATTTGACGAAACCGAGTGGCGTCAGTGGGAGCCGTACCATCGGAAAGAGAGAGCGCAGTCGTGGAAGCCATGGGAGTTGGCATAGGGGCAGCAGCAAGCATATCAAACCGGGTGAGCAAGTCCTTCATATATTTATGTTGTGACAGTAGATAGCCGGACGGAGTAGGAATGACCTCAATGCCCAAAAAGTAGTTGACATCACCAAGGGACTTCAGAGAGAACCTTTGAGATAAGGCAGCACGGAAGGATGAGAGAGTGGCCTCATCATTCCCTATGAGCAATAGATCATCCACATAGACAAGAAAATACAGCAAAACACCAGCTCGATGGTATACAAAGAGAGATGAATCAGAGAGAGTTTTAGTAAACCCGAACTCAAGGAGAAAGGAACTGAGGGCGGTATACCAAGCACAGGGAGCCTGACGAAAGCCATAGATTGCTCGTTTGAGACGACAGACGTGGTGGGGACGAGCAAGATCAACAAAACCAGGATGTTGAACCATATAAACCTCATCAAGCAGAGGACCCTGTAAGAATGCATTGTTGACATCCAAGTGAGAAATCAGCCAATTATGTGATAGAGCCAGGGTAAAAACGGTGCGGACAGTCACAGGTTTGACAACAGGGTTGAATGTATCGCTGAAGTCAACACCAGGACGCTGATGATAACCCTTGGCAACCAACCGGGTTTTGAAACAAGCAATGGACCCATTTGGTTCTCGCTTAACGCGGAAGACCCAGCGATTACCCAAGACATTATAATGGGGAAGGCGAGGAACGAGATCCCAAGTATCGTTGGCATGGAGAGCCTGATTTTATGAAGTGAGAGCAGCGGACCACTCTGGATAGAGGAGGGCTTCGTGGACAGAGGCAGGTCCAAGTGGCGGAGAAGTGGAAGGCTGTCCTGGGCCGGTAGTGGCAATAAATAACTTCTTGGGCCGGAAAATACCATCCTGGGCCCGCGTTTGCATATTGTGGACCCGTGAAGGGGGAGGAGGCGGCTGGATAGGTGGACCGGATGGCCCATCCGGAGGTGTGCTGGGTGACGCAGGGGGCGCGGGTGCATCAGTGGGCCCAGTGTCCGGAATCGGGCCGGAAGATGCTGAGGAGGAGGCTTCGGTTGAGGTCGCTGCTGGTGAGAGGGAGGGAGGCCCAAGATGAGTTTGGCCAGCAGGTGTGTGTGAGAGCGGAGCAGCCGGAATTGAAGTGATGGCGGGGCTGGAGTCGAAGAGCCAGGTGGCAGGCGAGGGGGCCGCTGCAGTAGAAGGTGAGGAGTAACCTGGAAACACATCTTCAACAAAAGGAACATGATGTGAAAGGAAAACACGGCTTGTGATAGGATTAAAACAGCCATAGGCACTGCGTTGGGGGCAATAACCAAGGAAGAGACATGAGCGGGATCGAGTTTCAAGTTTGTTGGTGGAGTAAGGTCGAAGCCAAGGATAGCATAAACACCCAAAAATGCGAAGTCTATGGTAATTGGGGGTTTGATTAAAAAGTTGTGTGTAAGGAATTAGGCCACGAAGAGCGGAGGAGGGCATCCGATTAATGAGATATATAGCAGTAGAGAAAGCAAAGGACCAAAAAATGGATGGAAGATGAGCATGATGAAGGAGAGTGATACCAGTTTCAACTAAATGTCGATGCTTGCGCTCAGCCAAGCCATTGTGTTCAGGGGTATGTGGTGGAGTAAGCAAGTGACTGATCCCATGGGTATGTAAGGTAGAACACAGCTTTTGAAATTCACCACCGCCATCTAAGTAAATACGACGGATGGTAGTAGAGAAATAGTTTTCAACCATGGTACGAAAATCTAAAAATATTTGAAGGACGTCAGACTTTCGACGAAGAGAATAATACCATGTGTAGCGAGTGAAATGATCAACAATAATCAAGTAATATTGAAAACCATCAACAGAGGTAACATGAGCTGGACTCCAAACATCAGTATAAAGAAGATCAAAAGGTCGTGTACTGGAAAGTGATGAAACACCAAATGGGAGTTTATGAGATTTATTAGAAAGACAAGCATCACAATGACTAGGTGGGGATGTGGACGAAACTGGAAGTGAATGGGAGCGGAGCAGACTGTGAAGTGACTGGTCGGAAGGATGACTAAGCCTGGAATGCCATGAATTTGTGGAAGTGCGAGTGGTGACTAGCGCCATACGAACCGGTCCAGTCTCAGGCGGCAACTCATACACATCACCTTTGTTTTCCCCTCTCAACAGCTGCGCCCCCGTGCGAAGATCCTTCACAACAAAATAAGTGGCAAAAAATTCCACGGACACTGGATTAGTACGACATAATTGAGCCATAGAGATAAGATGCTTTTTGATCGCAGGCACATGTAAAACATCATGGAGAAAAAGTAAACTGGAACCAGTAGAGAGATGAGAAGAGCCAATATGGCTAATCCGCAAACCTGAGCCATCGCCAATAATTATTTCTTCGGGACCAGCATAATCCGAATATAAAGAGAGATTCCCAAGATCTGCCATGATGTGATGAGAGGCCGCAGAATCCATAAGCCATGGATTGGGAGAGGGCTGGCTGGGAGCAGAGGGAGCGAAGGAGGGCCCAGTGAATGTGGAATGGGCCTGAGATGGGGCCTGGCGCTGCTGGAGATGGGCCTGCCGGGCCTGGGGAAAGATCTGGAAACACTGGCTTATAGTGTGCCCCGACCTATCACAAAATTGGCAAATGAGGCGGGCCCGGCGGGGAGGCGCTACTGGCGCTGCTGAGGAATCACGTGGGGAGCCCGACCCAGAATAATAATGGGCAGATGGGCCTGAGGCCCGCTGGAGCTGACCAGATGAAGAGCGGCCCGAAGAGAAGTCCTTGTAGGGCTGCTGCTGCGCCTCCGCGAGGCGAGCGAAGGAAAGAAGGGTCGCCGCTCCTCTGCCCCTGAGTATAGAACGCGGTGGGTACCGCCGTGGGTTGCAGCGTCTTCAAATCAGCTTCATATTCGACCAAAGTGTCAACAAGATCCTCTAGAGTAAGGCCAGGACCACGAGCACGGACGGCGGCAGAGAATGATTTATACTCGTCTCCTAGCCCTCGTAGATAGGGCACCACCAGATCAAGATCCTTCACCGGTTTGCCGATAAGGGCGAGTTCAGCAGCAGTAGTGATGGCAATGGGTCGGGGCGGGGCGGGTACCTTAATACCCATGCCCCGCCCCACGCTGCTACGGGGCGGGTAATACCCGCGTGGGTACGGGGCGGGGCGGGTCGACCCACTCTTATATGCTATTTGAAAAAAATACAAGCAAAATTTTACTTTTTACAATAAAAGGAAGGGGAAAGACTTCATGAATGAATAATAGTGATAATATAATGGATAATTGGGTCTATTTAATTGAAAGATCAAGTCTAACTAGTTGAAGAAAAGCCAAAATAGGAGATATATGAATGGATGGTGTAAGAAATTGACCTAGAACGGGCCAAGAATGGGGCAGGGAGGTGCAGGGCGGGTAAGAAGTTGATACCCATGCCCCGCCCCATGCTACTGCGGGTCGGGTAATACCCGCCCCATCGCTGGTCAGGTCGGGTAATACCTGGCGAGGCGGGTTCAAATTGCCATCCCTAAGCAGCAGTACTCTTGAGACCATTGAGGAATTCGAGTACATCTCGATTTCCTCTGACAATCTTGC